AATTCTTTGAGAGTGAACCTGATTTGCCATGGTTTGGCAATGATTTCATTTCATCTCTTCTATATAGTCTCCGTAACTATAAATCGTTACAGTTCTGATTTCAAGAACAGGTTGTGAGCTGCTAAATAGCATAATTCACTTGCTTTAGTTTGAACAAAGTTAAAATTATTTCTTATTCATTGCGTTTACTACGCTTAATGAACCATATAGTTCAAATTGCGTGAGGACATGTATTACTCTTAAATCATTGACTTACTTAAACTGTACCACTGAAAAAATTAAAACATAAATAACTCGGCCCTTTAGTAGACTCACAGAACAGGTGTAACTGCACTCACTGTATTAGCACCATTGCAACCAAGATCAAGTAAAGTACCTGACCGTGGGTCCTAATCCCAAATGCCGATGCCTGTAAATTCTTAATCTGCATGACTTCATATGATAGATAAGTAGATGCAATCAAACAGAAAATTACTGTCAACTCCTACTCGGCCATAGGCTTTCTCGGCAACTACAAATAGAGCCTCATCTATAAGGGACTCTGTTGTCTAGGATAGAGATTCAGCTGATTTTAAACACAAAAGCCTAAAAGATCTAGAAAATTCAGTGCAGTCTTCTTGCTTTGGTATGTATCAGCATTCTGGAGCCTTGAAATGCTGTTTGAGGTTGCAGACTATGAAAACGAATAGAAGTTTCATTCTGTCAAGTAAGATTTTGCAATCAGACAATTTTTGGAGGCATAACTGTAAGAGGTTGATGTGGATGCCAACATGCAAGATGCTAGTTGTTTCAAACTCTAGATCCAAATCTTGTCTCTTTAGAATGAATTAAATCAATGCAAGTACTCCAGTTCTCCTCTTCATGGATTTCAATCCAAATTCCATACATTGAGTCTGTCTCTAACTAGAAATGTATATGTTCTTTGTAAGGACATCTACCAGATTTCACATCGGATGTAAACTAGAAGACACACTCCCTATTTTCCTTAACTAAAGAAAAGCAGTAAACATGAATTAGCCTGATTTAAAAACCTGCAGAAATTTAAAACCATTTAAAAACTGTTAATTGTAGATTTTACTTAATAAGAGATGATGGTACATTGATTAGAGGCTTCAGCACTTTAGCTATTTCAATAATATTCAAAACTGCATGAATCCTTATGAAATATTTATGTAGTCATGATAGTTCTTCTTACTAAGTATGTAACTAGGAAGTTACCTTGATTTATGCTGTTCAGACATCTTTTTTTTTTTTTTTGCTAAAGACAAAGGAATTTAATAATTTCATACAGTAGAGAAATCATCATGAATATGTGCAATTGATTGAGTATTATGGTCATGACTCTAGCACTACCCTTGCTGTTAAATTTCCTTTTAGGCTTATGTAGTTTATTTTAAAGCTCTTGTCTTTTCCAGAACTTCTTATTTCAACGTTTCTTTTTGTCCCACATGAGAAGAAAACCTGAACCCTTTACAGAAAAGAAATCCTTAATTGTTTCTGTTTGGAAGTATAAAAGGTTTTAATTTCAATGTTTTACATCAAATGAAAATATTTTGTTTTCATTCATTTAGCTGATGTGAAATACATTGATTGAAGTCATTACAACATAAAATTGTATTTTCCCATTGGGATATCTCATAGTAAACGTGGCATAGAAAGGAAATTATTTCTTCACAGTAAATCAAGTTCCCTGTCTGGATTGTATTGCTGTCAGACTGACCATACAGAATCTGCACCTTGACAGGTATAATTCTCAAGGAAATGAGGCCAGCTGGAGCAGAGTAGGAATTGAAAGTTAAACTTCCTTTACCTAAGAAAAGTGAAAGTCTGTTTAAAATTCTATTGAGCAATTCAAAGTCAAATATTTCATGTCAGTTCAAAATCATCCCATTTCCCAAAGGAATACAGAATACTTGCAGTAATAGAAAAATGTCAGTCAGAAAGAATTCAGTAGTTTAAAAATCATTTACCACTAGGACAGCATTTTCAGTAGAGAATTCCTAAATGGTTGCTAGATACAATTTCTGCATGGGGCAATAGCACTTGCTGCATCTATGCAATCTGTCATTTCATGTGGTTGTGAATGGTTAATAACATTGCCATGAAAATTTAATCATCTCTGCAGAATTGTCAGAAAAAGAATGTAAATGCTGAGAATAATTACCATACTGTAATTAGTTTAATAGTTTGATCTGACAGGATACAGACTGATTGACAGATATTCAGCGAATGGCCCTGTATTTGTTTTACCAGCTATTGTTTGAGCAAAACTTTATAATGGATTTCATATCCTCAATTATTTTCAGTATAATTGTTGCCTGCCTCCAGTATAATTCAGGATGATTATTACATTCAATGTTTGAATCAGAGTAGCAAACCTGGAGTATTTGTAACATTTTGTAACTGTTTGGCAAGCTTAGACTTACAAATTTTGAATTTGAAAAGCTTTGTAAACCAAACTGTTCTGGTCTAAAATATTTGTTCATGAAGTATTAGACTTCTGTTTTACATGAAGTTCTCTGGATAGATCTCACTTGAAATAATGTTTTAGACATACCTTCAATTTCTGCAAGTCAGATACCCTCTGGAGGCAGCTGTTACATGCTCTCAAATTGCATTAATATTGTGTTTGTAGTTTGGGATTAAACTGTAGCAATTGCAAAACTGTTAAACCAACAGTAATAGATTATCGAAGAAATGGACGTACCAAAATAAAGGGGTTCAAACAAGGCAGCAGCAACTCTAGGTGTGAAGACTGTTAGCTCGATACCCACGCAAACTGTCACTTTTTGTGGTGTACTTCTTGTGATGCATGGTTCACTGGGAACTTGGAAGGACAGAGGAAGAAGCATTCTGTGTTCTGGAGATGCTTGCCGAGTGCAGGCTGATCGAAGAGGCTGTACTGAAACACTGGCAAAATTTCAAACGGTTATTTGCCATTGCTAACTCATTATAGAGGACAAGTCAGAGTGAGTAGGATCTACTATGATTTTGAGGAGCGTGACAGGCAATTGTGGAAGTAGAAGTGCTGGCCATGCAGTGAGTCTATATCGCAACTCAACAGCTAATGAGATTGTTTTGTGCTACATCTTTCTTGTAGAAATGTTCTTGTTTAATTTATCAAGAAGTTATTATGCTGGTACCTTATTCCAACTTAGAAAAAATATGTTATGTTGTACTCTTGAGTTTCACTTTTTGTTTATAGAGCACTGTCCCACTGAAATGGACACAGTATCTAGGAAGAAGGATCGAAGGAATACATCTCGCTGGACTTCTGCCTTGGCATTTACACTGCAGTTACCTAAGGTTTCCTTTACACCAATGGAGGGAAATAAAATTTTTGTGTCTAATCCATTTGTTCTCTGTTAAGATACATATTTTGCAAGTCGGATTGTACTCAGCAAATCTGTATTTACTTTCACAGCCTGTGAAGAGAATATAGAAAACTGGCTGAGATATATGTCATTTAAAGCTATTGGAACAATTGGGGTGGGAATACTTCTGAACTTACATCCTTGATTTATTTCCCTTCTGTCTAGATATTCATTGTATACAATTCCACCAGTGTAGTATTTTATTTCTTAAAAGCTTAGAGTAGTTTATGCAGATAACATCCTTTAAAATGTGTTCTTTCAGAGAAGAACAGAGGCAGAGACTGACAGAGAAGTTGGAGATGTCTGGATCTCAGATCCATAGCAAAGGCATGTGCTGGAACTCCAAATTGCCCTCTTGTTCCTTAACGTAGCATGCAAGACAGAACTTCATCTGTTTTCCTACAGTCCTTGAAATATTACATGATAAATACTACATCACATCAGCAGCACAGTGTAAAACTGGCTTGAGAGTCCCTTACAGTTAGTGAGCTCCCTAGAGGCTTTTAGTGTCTTCAGTATATAAGGAACCAACAGAAGCCCGCAGAGCTTGGCCTGCATATGTATGCAGACTTGGCCTGATTTATGTAATTAAAGAAACCTTCTGCCGTAACATTTTCTCTGTTGAAAAAGATCCTAAACATATAGCAGAGAATTAAATGGTTTCTACAGGATATTTGCTCCTGTTAAGTAAGAAATACTGGACCTGACAAACTTTAAAAAAGAGTAGCCCATTTCTGAAGCCTACTGGATACTTTTTCTTACAGCTTGCTTTGGTTGTTGCTATCCAGTTACTTACTCTATGGGAGCTCATTCCATGCATGCACTACCTCTGTTCCTGCACAGGGCTCACTGCTTGTAGACTGGCTGTGGCAGCCTGTTTTGCCACCTGTTTTACTCTCTTTGCACTTTGGACAGGAAGCAAGCTGCTAGGTGAAAGAATCTTCGGGTATGTATGAGGACACGGTGCAGTTACATGCATGCAGTAGGTCTGGGTTTGTGGTGGAAGAGGGATCATACTGTACTCCATATTTGCTAAACAGTCCTTGGCTTCTCATAACCAGAACAGGCTTTGTGAATAAGAGGTGTGTGGAAGGAAGCAGATAACAGTTTTCATCATACTGCCTTACCATGAGCAGCAAAAGTGAAAACTAAGGCCTGGGGATTTCCCACTGTTCAGCTACAGACCCCGCCATTCTTGTGAAGAACACATGGGATATTGCTTCTCCCACGTTTTCCCCGTTTTGGCTGTTCCCTCCACTACTTCTACCCATATGGTGGAATAAGAATTCCAAAACAGGAGGAAAGTTTTATTCCACAGATTTCTAATAAGGAACAGAGGATTCAAGGACAAAGTGCAGGAAACCCCATATTGTACGGGATTTCTGGCAGCTTTTGGTTGTAAAAGCTTTTGTTTGGTAGTTTTATCAGTTGTAGAGTCATTTTTTTATTACAAGATGAATTCTGTGGTTTTCCACTATAATTTCTGCTCAGTTTTGTGTGGCAGGACACCATTTATATCTGCTGACACTGCTTTGACTTGTGCCATGTTTGAATATTTGTTTATTTATTTTTAACTTCCTTGTGCTCAGAGGATATATTCTTCCTGTTTTGTTTTCCCTTTCACAGCTTTTGAAGGAAATTATTGGCCTCACTTTTTTCTCCAAAACCAGAAAGAATCTCTGCAAAGAAGTAAGTGCCTGACCTGGTGTTTAACATTCATATTGCAATTCAGTTCAGCATCAGTTCTGTATTGCAGAAGATGCTGTAGAAAGCGCATAATAAAAATAAGTCCTTGCCTCAAGTAGCATATGTTTTAAAGCATTAGTTTTAGAAATCCCAAATGAAGAGTTTGCTTATAAAGCACAGTAAAATAAGTTGTCTCGCTCTGGTAAGTTTTAGGCTGAATGGAAAGTGCTTTAGTGTGCCATGCTGAGGTTTTGATGCCTCAGGATAGAAACTGTGAAGCAGTTTAGTAGCCTTCCACATTTAGAAATTTGCTACTGAGGTAATTGGTGTGATCTGCTTGGTTTTCATTCCTGCACTTAGGTTAACATTCTCTAAGAATTCAGGAAATGGATTCTTTTGATGCTGCAAAATCCAGGAAGAGAAATAAAGCTGATTAGAGGCTATGAGATTATTTTAAAGATTGCAGGTTAAAACAAATTTATGTGTAAGTGAAAGATCAAAATACAGGATAGTTCTTCCTCACCTTTATAGCCAGCAGCCAGTGTGGAGTCAGGGTTTGGACAGATCTTCAACATCCAGCTGTGCCAGCTGAAGCTAATTTGCTGCAGTTCTGGTAGTTTCCCAGTTTTCCTTTAGCTCATAAGAATGGCCTGTGTGCATGAACCCATATCTGTAAGGAAAATTAACTCCAGCCACCTACTTACTGCAGATTTGTGCTAGTCCTTCTGAATCTAAGAAATACAAAATATAGTAAGATACCACTATCAAATAAAAATGTGTACCATGCCAAGGCATAATTAATGTATTAGCTTTAAAGTAGTAAAAATTATAGCTATCAGAAATACTGTTAGGAAAGTAGGTATCACTAAAATATCAACTCACAATTAAAGTGGTAACATTTGACAGTAGTGATTGTGGTATTTTCTGTTACAAAGAAATTTTGCTTTGATTCAAAAGGAGGCTGGACAAGTACTTGGAAGTCAGAGCACAAGGAGGTTAAGCAGACAAATCCCAGCCTCACAAAATACCCTGAACTGAAAATAATTGTAGATTGAAGAGTATCTGCAGAAGCATGCATGCCTGACCTGATAGTACTCTTCTCTTCGGCAGTCTCCTGATGATCACTGCTGGAAATAAAATAAGCAAGCTACATCAACACTTGGTCAGAACTAATACAACTTTTCACATGTTCTTTTCTGAAGAAACGTGAGGCACTGACTTTTCAATTTAAATTTAGTTCATTAAACATTTAGTTTCCCACATCCATGACAAGAATGAACAAATGTCATCATGATAACATACATACAGGGTGTGCTGTTCCCCTACTAGATCTTTTCTAAAATAAATGTGTATATCAGTCCTAGTATTCTGCGCATTATCATATTCTATTTACAGACATTCTTCCTAGGATTCCATAATCTTAATATTTTATATTAAAATACTGTGCTTTACTGTTGCCTACTGGTAAAAAGCAACTCTGTACTGCAAAAGTTGCTGCATTTCAGTGGTTGATAGTGAAACTGTTAATCTAGTTTAGGGAAAATGCAGAGATCTAGAACAAAAGAATTCTATAAAATGCAAATTTATTATAATGAGAAGCAGAGTGTGGCTTGAATTAAGTGAATTCTCATTCAGCATATGCATAGAAAAGCTACATGAAGTTCATCCTATAGGTAAAAATAGTTGAATTTGTGACCAGACAAAAAAATAATAAAATTCAGCAAGTCATCTCTGTCTTCTTTCTGTTTTTACAACAAGAGGAACAGTAGGGCATGGATATACACAAAGTAAAGGAAAATCTAGGTATCACTTAATAAAACTGAACTCAAAAGACAAGTATAGAATCTAGTGTTAAATATCTTGAGTTATTGACATTCCTGCCATATTTTTCTGTAATAATATTTAAATAAAAACAAATACACCTACATTTATCGGAAGGGGCTCCTATTGCACTCTGACCATTGTGCAGCCCCAGCTAATCATTTCTTGACACACTCTGAAAAAGCTGGGATTTGCTGGTTAGTACAGCACAGTATATTACACTAGCTAGAGTTGGGCATGAAGAATCAGTAACAATTAGCCAATTCCTATTTTCCAGTCAGACGTTCTGGACAGCACAGAAGTATGGAAGAGGAGTACTTTTTGCCAACAGGTAACAGCTCACTGGGAAACAGTATTTTCTACTTGATCTGAATAAAACCAATACCACTCTTTAAGAGAGCAGAGAATAAAAATTGCAGGTAAACTTTGCAAAATTTTCCTGATACTTTATGCTTCTAAGATATATTCGAAGATACCTGAGCTTCATATAACTCTAAAAGCAAAAATAATTAAAAAATGAAAAGTAACTGAGTCTGGGCATGATTTTACTGACTTCAGTAATTCTGTCATTTTCAGAGGGACAGTTCAAATGCTTTAAGTAGGTATAGAAATATCTAACATTAAGTGCTAGAGTTATTTTTTTTCCAATGATTTATTTCAACCTCCTAAAATCTGTCCATTTAGATGAAAAGTGATTACTTTTTAAAAATGAAAACTGATCGAAACATTCCATGTATTTACAAAGCTGGCTGGAACTTTTTCACAGAAACAGACCCAAAATAGTGGAGACTTGCAAGCTGGGCTTTGAAGACTGTTTTCTGACATCTAGTGATCTGACTGTACAATGAATCATGATACAGTAATGCCATATATAGCTTTGCAACTGTGCCTGAAATGTTAAAGTTTTTTCCAGTAGCAAGCTTTCACCTCTGCAAACAGATTGTGCAGACTGAAGTAAGAAGATAAACATTTATATATTCCATGAAGGAGATGGAAGTGTGTTTCCCAAGCTAGAAGGTCTTCTCCAATTACAGTAAATAAGAATATTGCTCTGATTCCCACTTCCTGATTTAAAATTTTGAGGTTGTAAAAAAAAAAAAAATAGTCTAGGATTTTGCTTAGATAATTAATCTGAGTATAATCTTAGATAATTAATCTGAGTATAAATAGCTTTTCTTGCTATTTATAACTGAAACAGCAATCAAAATGTTAGGAGACCTAAATCCACTTTTCTCTTTCACTTTTATAGTTCTGAGCAAGGATTCCTGTTCTACCTGGGGCGGAGGGCATTTTTCCACCTTTGATAAATACCAGTATGACTTCACTGGCACTTGCAACTATATCTTTGCAACTGTGTGTGATGAAGCCAGCCCTGACTTCAATATACAGTTCCGCCGTGGGCTGGACAAAAAAATTGCAAGGATCATTATTGAGCTGGGACCTTCTGTTGTCATTGTTGAGAAAGGCAGCATTTCTGTCAGGAATGTTGGGTAAGATTCTGCAATTAATGAGAAAAAACATGTTTAAAGACAGCAGAGGGTCATATATATAGCAGTCACACTAAAGAAGACTACTTTGTATCAAAAATGAATCAACAAATTACAGAAGTTAGTACACCTGATGACTCTACTCCCATTTCTTCCTTTCAAGCATTCACACTCTATAGATGAGTATTTCATTTGCAGCTATTTGAATCAGGCTTATTTTCTGTAAAGGGATAAACTAATAACCTTCCCAAACCAAAACAGTTCTCACATTGAAACTAGTCTCCTATGTACTGCCAGTTTTCATATGCATATGCCTCTACTACAAGAACAGCTTATACCTTTTAGTAGATACTAGTTGAAATTCCTGTGTTTTGCTTAGAGCTCATTTTTTTTTTGAGACTTAGATAACTCTGAACCCTCTATGCTAAAGATGATATGTAGGTTATAAGAGAAACTTTGAACTGTACAACCAATAGAGAAATATCAGAAGGGCTCACAAAAAGGCCCTTGTGGATGAGACCGCTGTCTGTATACATTATTCCAAGGATTACTATGTCCAGAAAACAGCTGTTTTACTGAGGAATTACACTGATGGGAAACTTTGGGTTCTGCATCATTCATTCTTCTAAACAAAATGCTCCCATAGAAGGAAATGTTTCATTGGAAGTTTTCAGCATTTTTATCAGATAGACAGGCTTGAATTTTTGTCTGTGAGTATATGTGGGTACAGGAAATAAACTTGAGTGTGGATTGTCTGTATCTTCTTACACTTACCTGGGTATAATAACCATCATGACAAAAAGAGATCTTGAAGCTATACCTTATTTTAGCAAATTGTATTTATTAAGAAAAACTTTCTTTACCAGTTAATGTCTCAGGAAAACTATATAAAACTGTGGACCTAACCAAATGATCTGCATTTTAAATTTTTATCCTACATTCACAAGAACCAAAGGCTTTGGCTGACCTGGTCTAGTGCTGCACATAGCCCTTCTTCAGGTAGAAGTCTGGCCTGGGCAACTTCAGAAGGTCCTTTCCAACCAGCTTTTCTCTGATTATATCACATGCTTACTGACTATTTAGCAAAATATATTTTGTCTTTAATGTTGTTAGTTTGTAGCACTAGAATTCAGCTGCAAGGATGAAAACCTAATTTTGCTACAACATTCCCATAACGGGTTTCTCTAACCTTGTCAGGTTTCAGTTATAGCAATAATTGCTATATTAACAGACTGTAAGCTTTTCAGGGTAATCAAAATAATACTACCACACAAACTGTATTGTTACAAGTTCTTGAAACATATACCTTACCTATACCCTAATAAACCCAAACCAAGTGAAGATGCCAAGTGCTGTGCAAACATTTTCACTAGTATACTGACTATGCAACTGTCTCCTTGAGATTCTTCTATGAAACTGTTGACACTGATTTTTCAGTCAAGAGAAATTTTAATGTATCTTGAAATGCTACAGTTACAAAGGAAAAAAATCTATGTTGCTGCAAGTACTCAGATTATATATGTGTTAGATCCAGAAAAGATAACTAGTACCTGCTTAATAATGGTATGAGATGGTCAGTTTCTCTTCTTGCCTTATTACAGTGTCATTAAGTTGCCTTACACCAGCAATGGAATTCAAATAGCACCTTATGGACGCAACATTCGTCTGGTGGCCAAACTGATGGAGATGGAGCTAATTGTCATGTGGAACAATGATGACTATCTCATGGTTAGTAAAATCTTCTCATAAAGCAGAAGAGAAAATGCTCACTGATTTACTGTAATGAGAAGATGTCTTTAAGCTTAATGGGTGCTTTTTGCATGTGTTTACTATTTGGATATTTATTCTTTTCCTGCTTCATCCATTTACCTTGAAAAAAACATCTTGGCTTTTTATATCTGCGTGTTCCTTTAACTTCCAGCTTTGGTATGTAACTAAAGCCACCAATGTTGAGATTTGTGGGTGCTTTCACAAATTTTAAACTTTCCTCAAGCTATTCCAGCAGCTAAAAAGTTTTGCTAAAGAGCTGTTGAAGTTATTTAAAGTTGTTCAGAATTTCTTTATGCATAGTATATGCCTTAGTCTTGTCATTTCTACTATGCTTCCCCCCACATCTTTTTTTTTCTTTTTCAAACATGTGGTGCTTTTACCAGCTCTTTTTTTTTCTTTTTCTGAATCTTGTCATGTTTTCCCTCCAAAATGACTGATATATTTTAGAGAAGAGGATACATTTCCTCAGTGTGAGAAATCACATAGTCTCCTTGCCACAAAAGACACTGAATTCTATGCTAAAACAGAGAGATTGTTATGTGAGAGGTTGTATTGGAGATTTATCAACATTGCTATCACACATATAACAGGAAATGCTACTGCAATTGGTATGCTCTGTATCCTACCTACAATCAAATTATTTCCTCTGATCTAAGGTTTTTATAAAAATGCATTGATTGTAGCCAGTAGTAGTAGTATAACCACTTTATTCTCCAGAGCAGTAAATAATTGAATAACCTTCTGAAACCAGTTATTCTTTCTGTAACTTTCAACTTCTTAAGACAATGAACCTGAAATTCATGCTCTATCAACAAAGATATGAGCAAGGCAACAGCATCATTTCCTTTTCTATTTTTCTGGTTCCTTAGAATATCATTCCCTTCAAATCTCTGCAAATGCCTTTTATTTTTTTCCTAAATTAAAAAAATCACAACAATCACTACTTGCCTATTTGGTAAAAGAAGTTACTGCTTCCAAAATGTTTCTTCTAGCCAAGTCACTGAAAGTAATGAGGAGGATCACCTTTAATTGGATCCTTGAACTGAATGTGTTTGAGAAAAGTAATGCTTTATAGATAATTTTACTTAGGGTGATCCTTTTAAATATATTGCTTTGCTTTGTTTTAGGTTTTGACTGAAAAAAAATATATGGGGAAAACCTGTGGAATGTGTGGAAATTATGATGGTTATGAATTGAATGAATTTGTGAGTGAAGGTAAGCTCTAAGGACATATTGCGTGGAAGGACAGCTAGTTAAACTGAGTCAAGGTGGAAACTGAATACTGTACTAACTTTGCTCTAACTGCTCACTCAAGTTTTTCAGAATTGAGTAAAGCACACCTATATGTCACCAACATACTTGTCATTTGATTATGCTACACAGTATAATTTGGTATGGGGTCCTCAGACAAGTGGTAAGGAATCTTATATTTCAGAAAACTGTGATAAGGTCTACTCTCTCACCTAACTTTCAGAGCAGTCTAGTTGTATAGCAAGGCACAGTAAGTGAAATAATTACATTAGGCAGAAGTAAGAATGAGGCTACAATAAAAAGAACATAGTGAACAAGAACATTAACAAGTAATGTTTCCAGTAAGGATGGATCTTTAGAACAAAATAGTTGGTGCAAGTACTTGACATCAGCACTCTATGTAGTTTGGGGGGTTCACTTCAGAGTCACTCTAATCTGTTGAACTAATGCCCATTATCACTGGGAGATCGTTACACATGCTCTTGGAGCACATCTTCTGCTTTATTTTTCACCTTAAAGGAGCTCCACAATGGAAATAAAATTACACGGAGTGGGGATGTTCAGAAGATTAGCTTTAAAAGCACACTGCTACTCTGAACTCCAGTGCCAGTGTGGGGGCATTAAATTTCACAGTAGACTAATCTCGGATCAACACTGCCAGATGCAGTTATCTAGACACATCACAGAAGAGAATTCTAAAAAGTATACAGTATTTTTGGGGTTGTGATGAGTTTAGCCCTACATGTAAGGGAAAACATTAGAATGGGGATGAGGAGAAGACACGTTACTAGCTGGTGAAAGATAACACAGCTGGCAGGAAAACAGTAGCATCTGGCATCATGTAAGATAGTAGGTATGATATATTAGGAAATGGCTCAGAGAAACCATCAAGGTGATAAAAGTATGCTTTACTGAATAGACTCCAGGTAAAGGGTGAAACAGGTAGTTATTTATCAGGTAGACTAATTAGTAGGATATTGCACAATCAAAGAGTAGAATCTGAGTTTTCTCCCTCACAGCAATAAACAATGTCCATGTGGGCTTTTGCCTGACAAAATACAAATGTTCAATTTACAGGTAAATTGCTGGATACATATAAATTTGCTGCATTACAAAAAATGGATGATCCATCGGAGATCTGCCTGTCTGAGGAGATATCAATTTCCCCCGTTCCTCACAAAAAATATGTAAGAAAGATCTTCTTTGCTTTTCTGCAGCATGATTCTTAACAGAGGTACAAAGATAGAAACCAATAATGGAGAGGCATAAAACTGACTTCCGTGAAAATGGGTAATGTCAAAATTTGTATGGAATGACATAAGAAAGAAAAGGAGTTCTTTGCATTAAAATACATTTTGAAAAAAAAGCCCTTGGGCATTTTTGAGGCTGCATTCATATCAGTCATCTAAACCTAAGAGCGCTTAGCCCACAGCTTTCTGAAATTTCATGCAAGTCATCCCAGGAAATTTTTGGAACCAGTCAAAGAACTTTTAATTAAATAAATAACAAGAGACCTGACATTATAAGCTGTACAGACTTGAGACGTTCAAGAATACCTATAACATATTGATAATCCTAATTAGGACGATCCTGTTGTTTTACCAGACATTCCCACACAGATTTTGCATTCCCACACAGATTTTACAGAATCATAGAGTGGTTTAGCATAGAAGGGATCTCTTCAGATCACCTAGTCAAACCCCTCTGCTCAAGTAGGGTCAGCTAGAGCAGGTTGTCCAGGCCAGTGTCCTAGTTGGTTTGGAGTATCTCCTGCATAGATCTACCAGGCTGAGGAAATGGAAACTGCACAATTTCTCTCACTATTTTTTCTACCTAGGAGGTCATAAAGTCACCATATATCTAATGGCAAGTACTCATTGCTATCCTCTGTAATTTTACATAGAGTGATCATGTTCTTTGGTTCTGTTTGTGTTTCTTCACAAGAATATGATCTTACTTTGCAATTCTCATATACTTGTATATAGTATACAGGTTACTAGTAATTACAGAATTCTTAAAAATTTCTCTCTTAAAATAGGAGACTTTCTTCTTTTTGCCTTAACAGTTTCATCTTATTTTTCTAGCAACCCAAGAATCTCTTAGTTAGAACATAGAAACCATTCCTCTTGCTAAAAAGTTACGGTTTCTACTACAGAGGAAGAGCCAGCTGGAATTCAGAGATTCACAGAATGGTTTGTGTTGAAAGGGACCTTAAAGATCATTTAGTTTCAACCCCCTCCTGTGGGCAGGGACACCCTCCACTAGATGAGGTTGCTCAAAGCCCTATCCAGTCTGAGATTCTCCTTTTCCCAGAACAGGAAAACAGAAACATTAGTTTTGTGACATCCCTTCCGCATGAAGAGCAAGAAAAAAGGACAGGAATTTCTGTGGGTCGTGTGAGGAAGATTCTTTATTGAAGAAGCGGGTTGTAAATATTACTTGTGTTCACATTGAAAAATTACTTTGATCGGGTGAAGAGCTTCTATTGCCTGGGAGGTTTAATCTTTTTACATTTTTTCTCTTTGAGGCCTTATACTGCAGTGGGCAATGTGATAGGCAACACAAACATATCAAAAGTTTGCTCACAGAGGAATGAACGTTGTTGTTGTCACATCGGGGATCTTTGTCCTGAAGCTGAATCTCTATGAGATGACACCCTCCCTGCCTGTAGCGTTCTCAGCCACTTTTAGGGGGACTGATAGTACAGAAGGAATTAATTCCTTTTCAGCTTAATGAGATGTGGAACTAATTCAGCACATCAAGTCCTTCAATTATACAACGGATTTATATTCCCTTCTATTAATGAATTTCTCATGCATTTTAAGTCAGATACATATTACTAAACTGTAAGGGAAAACAGAAAAGAAACCAACAAGAAAATCATAACTAGCAATGATGTTATACTGTGGTTTTCACATGGTGAAAACACTACTAAGAACAATTTTCTTTTTATTTAGGCCATGATCTGCTCTCAGCTACTTAACTTGGTATCGCCAACATGCAGTGTGCCAAAGGATGGGTTTGTCGTTCGTTGCCAGCTTGATATGCAGGACTGCAGTGAACCAGGACAAAAGAATTGCACTTGCCCTACACTGTCAGAGTATTCAAGGCAGTGTGCTATGTCCCATCAAATGGTATTCAACTGGAGAACTGAAAACTTCTGCTGTAAGTTCAATCATTTTATTCATAGGAGAGTTTACTTAACCTTGCTATATCTTACACACTCTGTGTACGAATGAGGATTAAGTGATAATGAAATAAACTGTCTCTAATGTCTTGAATCATATTATTTTCTTAAGAGTAACACTGTCTTTTGGTAAAGTCTTAAGAAGAAGAGCATGGAAATTTCAAAGGAAAAAACTTTTAAAGGGCCTCTGAAGTCTTTGAACCTATTTTGCTAACAATTGCCATAGCCCCTTTTATTCACAGGAGATTTTCAGTAGTCCATTTTCAGATGCTTGGCCTTTTTACTTACAGCTAATGACTGGAAAAAAATAAGAAGCAAATCTTCTATTACTCTCCAAGCTGTACATGATTAGACACACTTTTCTTTCAAGTGCCTATTTACTATCAAAGTTCTGATTAATTTTCTTGCAGTCCTTCTAAATCAACATGAAACTTCAATCTATAGTCAGTGCTATGTAGCAGGATTCATTGTTTTATAAGAGAATATGCTTATCACAAAAAGAAAGTCAAAAGTGACTTAAGTTTAGGTTACTTCTAAACCAACTCACACATTAAATTACCAGAGATGCAGCTCATATCAAAATTTAAGAATTTAAGAGTTTGTAAATCAATGCAAAATAAGCAAAGGTAATTAATTTTTTAGTCCTTATTACTTCTTTGTCAGTCTCATCTCTAACTGGCTCTGTTTCCCTACCTCACTTATTTTTACTCTTTCAGATAAGATTGAATTTATCACATTTATATATGTTCTATGTTCCATATATTAAGATTTCTAGGTAGCTGCATTCTGAAAAGCATGTCTGAGAAGCAGGAGCTATACAGAAGACAAAGAGCTGTATTCTTTAAATTCTTCAAGCACTACGGAAAATCTGGTTTGTGGTAGTTTACTAGACTGCAATACAGCCTGTTTGCTGTTCTTGAAGCTTCTGAAAGGAGTTTCTAATAAATAGGGATGAAGAATGAATAAAAGCTAGAGTAAATATGGTGGTAATGATGAATATTCAAATATTGAACTGAGTATTAAAGCAGGATAAGAGAACATTAGTGCCAGAAATCACAAGATCTCCATCCTAGGTGGTAGATGAGATATGTGTTTACACTTTAAAATCTTAACACTTTCACTGTTTGTTGCAGCTGTGGGAAAATGTTCTGCCAACCAAATCTATGAGGAATGTGGCTCACCATGTATTAAAACCTGTTCCAACCCAGAGTACAGCTGTTCCAGTCACTGTACCTATGGTTGCTTTTGTCCAGAAGGTATTCTGTATTTATCGTATCTTAAATGGCACATACAAATGTTTCTGGCATATATCCAGTCAAGTGTACTAGACTTCTTAATAATGAACTAGCAGTGCATTTCAGGGCACTGTGTTGCTAGAACTGCCATTTTTCATGTAACATAATATAACTGAAGTCTTGAGTAGTCATGGTCCTTAAAGGTCCTTGATCACTATTTACAAGAACAGACTGGGAAAGCGTTTTCCTTACAAAACCTCAATATGTGATGGAATTATTATATGCTGCCTTTTTGAAATTCTGTGCTGTAATATACATTGAGTAAGCTTTAATTAATTTCTTCCCCTAAAGAGGTATCCAGCATTTCAGGGCACAAGCAAGAGGTAGCATACTTCAGAGAATTTTTGCAATAGTTTGGGCATTTAGTAAAATCCCTTTAAAGTAGTTTAAAATTAATTTCCTGCAAAAAAAAAGTACTGACTATTGTTTGCAATGTTTTTTGAAATTTCACAACTATCTTATAGGCCGGTCAGCCTCACCTCCATCCCTGGGAAAGTGATGGAACGCCTTATCCTTGGTGCCATCTTAAGGCATATCAAGGATAAGAGGGTTATGAGGGGCAGTCAACATGGCTTCACCAAGGGGAAATCATGTTTGACCAATCTCTTAGCCTTTTATGAGGAAATAACACAGTGGATGGATGATGGCAAAGCGGTGGATGTGGTCTACCTTGACTTCAGCAAAGCATTTGACACAGTCTCCCACAGCATCCTCACAGCTAAATTGAGGAAGTGTGGTCTGGATGATCAGGTAGTGAGGTGGACTGTGAACTGGCTGAAGGAGAGAAGCCAGAGTTGTAGTCTATGGGGCTGAGTCTAGTTGGAGGCCTGTAACTAGTGGAGTGCCTCAAGGGTCAGTACTGGGACCAGTATTATTTAATATATTCATCAATGATTTAGATGAGGGAATTGAGTGTACTATCAGCAAGTTTGCTGACGACACTAAACTGGGAGGAGTGGCTGACACAGCAGAAGGCTGTGCTGCCATCCAGCGAGACCTGGACAGGCTGGAGAGATGGGCAGGGAATAACTTGATGAAATATAACAAGGGAAAGTGTAGAGTCCTGCATCTGGGCAGGAACAACCCCAGGTTCCAGTATAGGTTGGGAAACGACCTGTTAGAGAGCAGTGTAGGGGAGAAGGACCTGGGGGTCCTAGTGGACGACAGGATGACTATGAGCCAACACTGTGCCCTTGTGGCCAAGAAGGCCAATGGCATCCTGGGGTGTATTAGAAGGGGGGCGGTTAGTAGGTCGAGAGAGGTTCTCCTTCCCCTCTACTCTGCCCTGGTGAGACCCCATCTGGAATATTGTGTCCAGTTCTGGGCCCCTCAGTTCAAGAAGGACAGGGAGCTGCTGGAGAGAGTCCAGTGCAGGGCAGCTAAGATGATTAAGGGAGTGGAGCATCTCCCTTATGAGGAAAGACTGAGGGAGCTGGGTCTCTATAGTTTAGAGGAGACTGAGGGGTGACCTTATTAGTGTATATAAATATATAAAGGGGGAGTGTCACGAGGATGGAGCCAGGCTCTACTCAGTGGCAAGCAATGACAGGACAAGGGGTAATGGGTACAAACTGGAACACAAGAGGTTCCATTTAAACTTGAGAAGAAACCTCTTCTCAGTGAGGGTGACAGAACACTGGAACAGGCTGCCCAGGAAGGTTGTGGAGTCTCCTTCCCTGGAGACATTCAAAACCCGCCTGGACACATTCCTGTGTAACATTATCTAGGTGTTCCTGCTCCGGCAGGGGGATTGGACTAGATGATCTTTCGAGGTCCCTTCCAATCTCTAGCATACTCTGTGTTTGTGTGTGTGTGTGTGATCTTCCAAGGTTATTGTGCTGTGGGTATTTACATCAATATCATAACCATTTTAGAGTAGTCAAAAGTAATTTGTTCTGAGCTACATATTTAAAACTAGACTTAGTACTCTAGGAAAAAGAAGGTGTCCATTCTTCAAAATTTCCAATTTAATTAGTCTTATAGCAAAGTATAAAATTTGAAAAAATTACATTCAAGCTCACTCTTATTTCAAGTTAAATTAAAATTTCAAATAAAGACAATTGCCTGCACTTTCATATAACAAAGTAGCCAAATGCTGTTATCACTTGTAAAGAGTCAGTTTTATTTTAATTAAGAGAAAATGCCCTGTACATTACATCTCTAAGTATGGGCACTGACTGTGCAAGAATAGCATTCTCAAGCTGAGTTAGGAAGGCATTCAAGCTATATTATCTTTAGTGCTAAGTGAGGATATGGAAAAGTATTTATTATTTTGTTTACTGTCTTTGGCAGGAACAGTTCTTGATGACATCTCAAAGAATCGAACATGTGTTCACATTAAGCAGTGTCCATGTACACTGAATGGGAAAACATATGCTCCCGGTGAGACAATGATAGCAGCATGTAGGACCTGGTGAGTAGCAACAGGTACTTTCATGAGAGGATAAAGAGCATCCTCACGAAGCAATTGAAAGTTTTAGCTTAACTTTTCAGAGCTGCAAAGATTTCATACCATCTCCAAGGCCACCTTCTTGGAATGCCACAAATCGTATTATCTGTAATTGAAGATGTACATGTCTCATTCCAGATTAATCTGTACAAATATAAATGCTCCTTTAGGCCACACAAAACAGTAGCATTTTTATCTCCCTTATGAAAGTGGAAGTAAAATTAGTACAAAATGAATACCCAGTGTTTTCAGTTTCTTCCTTGCAATCTCAGCGTTTCTGATACCAAATCAAAAAACAAAATTTCTGTTTTGCAGTGGTAAATAATTATGACAATTTTTTTTTTATTTTGAATTATTTTTTAAATTGGAATAATTTTTTGTGTTTTACATCTCTTGCTACCATAATTCTAATAAGTAGAAGAATAAATAATGCAATTTGATCATCAGAATTGTAACAATGAACACTTCTCATGATTAGTCTATTCAGGAAAGTTTACTGACAATACATATGAGAGTTCAGCAACTTTCAATTAAGATGAATGACTTCAGCTGATAATCGTACAGAAAAAAAAGCACTGAAAGCATAAGGGGAAAAGTGAAACAAATGACATCTCCTATTACTAGGAAGTAGCTTGAGTTTTTGGAGGGTAAAAAAAAGAAATTTCAAAAAGGTGGAAATAAAATTTCAGAATGTACATGTATGTTACACTGTGTTCACTAACGCATTTTGCATATTGATCAGCTACAGCAAAAATTCCAGACATAAGGATCAAATCCTCTGATGGTAATAGTGCCTTAGTATGAGAATAAGCTCACACAGAATTTCTTGTTTTCCTTAGTAAATGTACAATGGGTCAATGGAACTGCAAAGACTTGCCCTGCCCTGGAAGGTGTTCACTGGAAGGAGGCTCCTTCGTTACCACATTTGATTCTAGATCATACAGGTTCCATGGGGTTTGCACTTATGTTCTTATGAAGGTAATTTCCTGCAGTCTAGAAATACACAATGTCAAATGGACATATTTGAATCTGTCTTTGGTTTCCTATTGGAACACAATCTGAGGTCATCCTATGACAGAGATTTATTCTACAAATCATTGTTATGCTGACACAGACTTCCCTTTTCACTATTTTCCTCCAGAGTCCCAGCCTGCCACACAATGGAACTCTAATGGCTGTATATGAAAAGTCCGGTTATTCTCATTCTGAGACATCACTTACTGCTGTAATTTACCTGTCTACAAAGGTTAGTATTCCCTCCACAGGTTCTATCCAGCATTTCAGTAACCAGATTAGCAAAATAATACTTAAAATCATTGCTGGTAGCCAGAACTGAAAAAATGTAGGGGACAGGTACTAAAGATACGTTCCAGTTCATACGTATGCAATAAAGATCTCAGCTGACACATCAGCTCAGGAAGTTAGAGTATTTTCAAAGTGAAAACTGAAAGCAATGTGGGATAGCATGAGAAAAAGCTTGAGTCAGTGTTTTCCTATTATATAAGTTACTGACAATACAGTTGCTTAAGTTAAAGAACATATGAATACCATCAGCACAGATAATTACTTCTTATTCCATGTCCTTTTCTTACAGGATAAAATTGTGATTTCTCAGAATGAACTCCTTACTGACGATGATGAACTTAAGCGGCTACCTTACAGATCAGGTAAAGAAATGGGAATATATGTAAAATCCAAATAATATTAAATGTCTGGTTTACACAGCCCAGCATCTCTTCTCTCACAATTGCCAGTAGCAGAGTTTTTAGAGGAAGCTTAAAATCTTTCCCATTGCATCTGTCCCTCTATGGAGAGTTGTGTGTGGAAGAAGGTGACTCATAGAATTCTAGAATACTTACATATGCATTGAAATAATTACTTTGCAATATTCTATGCATCAAAATTTCTGTTTCTAAATTTCCTTGTTCTTTTAGGAGACATCACTATTTTCAGACAGTCCTCAATGTACATTCAAATGTATACAACCTTCGGGCTCGAACTTGTAGTTCAGACATCACCTGTGTTCCAGGCCTATGTTAAAGTTGGACCACAATTCAAAGACAGAACCCTAGGTAAGAAATCTGGTCCCCATGTGAAGGAGAAAAATGTAGGGAGTGCGAATTTGAAAGTAATTTTAAGAAATTAATATATTTCTTTTGCTAGTAACTTTGAAATCAAAAAATTAGATAGTTGACATTTTTCATATAGTATAATACTTCACATGTTTTATGTGTGCCTTTTTCAATATGTGCTTTACTTCACAAGAACAGGTAACAAACTGGTCTGTGTGGTCTCTACGTCTTGGAGCATGCGGTTCTTTGAACAGAGTACATGATCACTGTAAAGATAATGAGCCTAAGAATTTAAAAGCTTCTCAGCACCTGATGGAGGTGTTTATTTTTATTCCATAGCAATATTAGCCACAAAGGCATATCCCGCATTATAATTGTCTGTAGGAAATTACAGAGAGGCTTTGGCATTAAAAAGAGTCTAAATGTATATTCTTTGTCTTTACAGATATTATATACATAAGAAAACGTATAACTGCAAAAGTATTTCATGGCCTTTCTCTTTCATATGATTTAAAAACACCAAAAAAGCCTTTTCTTCTAAAAACAAGACAAAAACTTCTCTATGAATTTGTCATTGAAGTGGGCAGTCTTAACTTGAAGAAGCAGAGGCTCAGTGACTGAATGTGTACATAATCAAGATTCTCTTTCTGGCTGCTTGACCGATAGTATTCATTGACAGTCCATATAGAACTTTTGAATCCATTTTCTCACTATTATAGAATGAAACATAGACCATTGTGTACATTATTTAATTTCCCCCCATCCCTTGCATTTCTAATGTTATTAGGTTTGTGTGGCAATTACAATGGAGACACTACAGATGATTTCATGACTAGCATGGATATCACTGAAGGGACAGCCTCCTTGTTTGTAGATTCCTGGAGGGCAGGAAATTGCCATCCTGCTTTAGAGAGAGATACTGACCCTTGTGCTTTGAGTCAACTGAACAGTAAGTAGATGACCCTGTTGTAACTGATCTCTCCAGCCATCCTTGTCTGACTCTTTCATAAGCCCATACCAAGTGAATGAGAGTTTGAGAGGAGCAAAGACTGAGACAATTGAACATCACAAATTCTGTCACTAACAAGATATTTCTGATGTCTAGGATACATAGAATCATAGAATAGTTAGGGTTGGAAAGGACTTTAAGATCATCTAGTTCCAACCCCCCTGCCATGGGCAGGAACACCTTACACTAAACCATGTCACCCAAGGCTCTGTCCAGCCTGGCCTTGAATACTGCTTTCTTGGGCAACCTATTGCAGTGCCTCACCACCCTCACAGTAAAGAACTTCTTCCCTATATCTAATCTGAACTTCCCCTGTTTAAGTTTTAACCCGTTACCCCTTGTCCTGTCACTACAGTCCCTATTGAAGAGTCCCTCTCCATCATCCTTATAGGCCCCCTTCAGATACTAGAAGGCTGCTATGAGGTCTCCACGCAGCCTTCTCTTCTCCAGGCTGAACAGCCCGAACTTTCTCAGCCTGTCTAGTATATATGCTTATATAGCATAGATCTAGAGATCTGGGATTGAGATTATAAATGAGAGGCATTTGGTGATATTCCAGTGAAATTGCAGTGTCCATGGATATCTTGCTCAGAAGTGCTGTGAATTAAATTTTTGCCTTCTCAAGTCTCTGTTGCTATTGGTTTAACAAAACAAAAAGCTCTACTGAGCTGTTTGAGCAAAAGTATAGTCTAAAGTATAGTCTGCAAGCTAACAAGCTAAGAAGCTGCCCTTTTGTTCATCATTGCCAAAAGCTCAACTACAGTGGTGTGTCCAGACTTTTTTTTTCCAAATTATTTTTATTTTTTTCCTTTTTTTTATTTTTTTCTGTTTAATGTCCACATTTTACTTTCATTAGAAATATCTGCTGAGACTCATTGCTCCATTCTTACCAAGAAGGGTACAGTGTTCGAGAAATGCCATGCTGTGGTGAACCCTATTCCTTTCTACAAGGTAGGAAATTATGATAGATGTTGTACAGAGGGAGTCCAAATATGGACCAAAACATCCTAATATAAAGTATCCCACTCATTTGGATCAGCAGTGCATAGAAGCTAAGGAACTGTGTTTTTGAAAGTCATGCCTCCACCACACTAAAATTCGGCAATAGGCACCAGTAACATCCATATGAATCAGAAGGTATTTTTGCTCATGCTTCACTTCTCCTTGTCGACAAGTTTAAATATGCAAAGTATTGATTTTCCCATGTGCGTAATTGAGCTCATTCTACTTGCGAATCTCCACACAACATTTTGAAAATTAAAAATGAAAAGCAGTGCATAAACAAAGGCATTTTTTAGGTGCTAAGTATGTTTTATTCATGTCAATATTTTTCATCAGTTATTATGCAATAATATGTATTTTGCCTGACTTTCCTTTGCAAGTCAGCGTAGAATCACTTACGTTGGAAAAGACCTTTAAGATCATAGAGTCCAACTGTAAACCTGACACTGCCTACTGCTAAACCATGTCGCTAAACAAGAGATCTACACAGCTTTTAAATACCTCCAGGGTTTAGCACTTCTAAATGTCTGCTCCCTAGTAACTGAGTTTTCTCCATGTATTTGGTTTCAGAGATGTGTCTACCAAGCCTGTAATTATGAAGAGACCTTTCCTTACATTTGTTCTGCTCTGGGATCATATGCACGAACATGCAGTTCAATGGGTTTAATCCTTGAGAACTGGAGAAACAGTATGGACAACTGTAGTAAGCCACTGAACCAATTCTTTATAGTCTGCCATCAGATGAATGCATGCATACAGGTCTATCTGTTTCCACTTAGAATATTCCCATGTTTGATTCACCTAAACGAAACTGAGTAAGAGCAAGAATGTATTTTGAAACTACTTGCCAGTCATTAGAAAATAACTACTTATTGCTCAAGTCGGCCAACCAGCAGGTATAAAAGCCATATTCCCAGGAGCTGCTGGTTTCACCAATGTGTTGTAACACAGCAAAAACCATAAATGGTAAAGCAGTATTCTAAACAGTGTCCAAATCATCTTAATAGTAATGGGGAAAGTAGTGAACAGAAAAAACAGAGAGAAAAAGCAGAAATGGGATAACAGATGTCCAATTACTGAATACCCTATAGTCTCTTTCAAAAAAGGATTACATGAGGTAACTCGTGCTCTAAGGTGAGCATGTGGATGCTCCCACCACTTAAAAATTAAGTGATGGAATAGAGAGATTAACAAAGCTATACTGTACCTTAAGATAAGAAAGAACTAGGAAAAATTCTGCAGATGAGATTTGCTATTATGCAACTTAGACATAGGCAAAGGTTTCACAGTTACTCAAAAATACATTGGTATTTCTGCAAAGCTTCTCTTTGCATTATTTTATTCTAAGATACACAAAGGAGCAATAAAGTATTTAACCTTCATAAAACTTCAAAATAGCTACATGGTTGGGGTTAAGACCTGGTCTGAAATATTTTTTGCTAGAGCTCCACATCCACGGGAAGAGAATCAATAGGAAGCATTAAGCATTGAAGCTGTTGACACAATATAAGCAACATATTATGAGCATAGTTATCTTTCACAAGGAAGAGGATAAGTAAATGAAGTTTAACATACACCCTTGTCTTGTTTAACAGCTATTACTTGTACTGCCAATCAAACATTCAGCTACCACACTCAGGCATGTGACAGGACATGCTTGTCACTCTCAAACCGAGCCCTGGAGTGTCATCCAACTGACATCCCTATTGAAGGCTGCCAGTGTCCTCAAGGACTGTACTTGAACCACAAGAATGAGTGTGTTCGTAAATCTTACTGTCCTTGCTATTTAGAAGATAGAAAGTACATCTTGCCTGACCAGTCAGTAATAACTGGTGGGATTACCTGGTAAGTGTGTCAAATTTGAAGATTAACACACTGAAAATTGAGACAAGGGGTCTTCATGTGTCTCTGTTGAGGGTTTATGTCAGTAAGTAGCTAAGTACCACATAGCTGCTTGCTCACTCCACTTCAGCCAGATGCAGGAGAGAATTAAAAGGGCAAAAGCAAGAAAATTTGTGGGTTGAGATAGACAGTTCAGCAACTTTCTTTATTATTAAAGAGCAAAAATAAGCTTATTTAATAAGCAAGGCAGCATGCACAATTAAAGCTAAGTAAGGAATTAAGTCATTACTTTCCCTCAGCAGCCAGATGTTTAGACATTTCCAGGAAACTTGAATTTGTCATGCATAATGGTTACTTGGGAAGACAAGCACCATAACTCTGAACATCCCTTCTTTCTCCTTTACCTGTGCTTTAATTGCTGAGCATGATGTTGTATAGTATGGAATCTCTCTTTGGCCAGCTTGGGTCAGCTGTCCTATGTCCTCTCTCAGCTTACTCACTCTTGGGGCAGTGTGAGAAGCAGAGAAGGCCTTGACCCTGTTCAGCAATAACTAAAACAACATCATGTTATCAACAGTGTTTTGGTCACAAATCCAAAACATAGCACCATCAAGCTTCTACAGAGAAAATTAACTCATTTCCAGTGCATTCTCCCTTACTTTTAATACTAAAGGTCCATTTTTTAAGAAATCATATTTGCCCTTTCCTAAAATACAAAGATTCTTAAATGAACAAAAAGCATTTAACTTACCTTAACCTTGGAAATGTTAAGGAAAAAAGTAGAAGATAAAGAGCAAGATCTGATTATTCCTGGTAGGAGATGTTGTCAACAGCAAACAGCAGCATATGGACAGCTATATACAAGCCTCAAGAATTATTTGATAGGCCATCATAATAGTGAATGGCTTACTATTCACTTTCAAAACTGATGTTACTGTATACTACAAAATGTAAAAAGACAAGTTGACTCATTCCATTTTGAGGGATGCAGAGGAGCTAGTAACATAAATGAAACACTTCCAATGGTAAGAAACATGAAGCCACTTCACAAAAAACTAAAATGTCTTTCTTAGGAGCGAATTGCATTGAAATGCCTTTTTTTCCGCCCTCCCCAGCTACTGCGTTAATGGAAGGTTAAGTTGCACAGGCAGACCTCAAAATCCTGCAGGTATGGGTCTGATATGGTTTACTTAGAAACATATTCTTTTTCCCCATGTTGTAAAATTGCTACTTCACAATCTCTGCCATGTTTGTTTTTCTTCCTTTTCCCTAGAAAGCTGCAAAGCTCCTAAGAAATATATATCGTGTTCTGACAGTTCAGAAAACAAGTATGGAGCTGCATGTGCCCCTACCTGTCAGATGCTTGCTACTGGAATTGAATGTGTGAGTTTCACAGCTCTGCGATATTTATCCTCTTGAGAGAGAAAGAATGTTCTAGTTGTTATTTAGGACTTTACTATGTTCCTTCTAATGTTCCTTCAAACGAAATGAAAGGAGATATTTCTTCTAACGTGATACAGTTAAACACCAGACTTTTTTTCACAGACTAGACACTAAAAATTTACATATAGTCAAGAAGTGGTTAAAGGAATTAAATTACATAAATTAACAAATTAAATTTGATTAATTGAATAGAATAAAAATCCATTAAGGGTTCTTAGCTACATGGCTGTCATCTCTGGCTCAGGTACTACATAAGCTGCATGTCACTGGAAACTGATAGAACATGAAGTTTATGCTTCCTGTTCTATTCTTTCTCAACTATGTGTTGCTGATGGTCACAGGATGCAGGAGATTTAGGCTAGGTGGACTTCTGATAGGGTTTTCATTAAGGAAACAGAGTAATTGGAAGAACTATAATAAGCTTCCTTGGTATAAAAGAACTTCTGTTGTACTCTATCTGAAAGATTGGTAAAAATGAAGGAGTCTCTTCAAGTATGTTTAATACCTTACACAACAGGTATAATAGAACTTCAGTGAAACTAGTTCAATTGACTAGTATATTAGTATGAAGAAAATCACAAAACTGAAATCAAGTCAAAATTAGAACTTAGCACAGGTTCACTCTTGACACCATTCACATAGATATCACAAGATAAAATGCATCTCACATTTCATGTTGCAATCTGTTGATCTTCACCAGATACCCACTAAATGTGAATCCGGCTGTGTCTGTGCTGATGGGCTATATGAAAATCTTGATGGCAGGTGTGTTCCGGCTGAGGAGTGCCCATGTGAATATGGTGGTCTTGCTTATGGAAAAGGTGAACAGATCCAAACTGAATGCGACATCTGGTAAGAAACAGAGTTTTCCATTGTGGAATCTCTGCTTCGTTAAACTGTACAACTACAGTGTCTCCTGTACAACTACAGGAGAGCAGGAAATGGCAACAGCTGAATGGAAGGAATACAGTAATGAAGCACAAAGGTGATGAAGAGAATCTTAGTGTCTTACAGTCTATATGCATAGATAAAATGTGGTATGTGCTTCAGGGATAATTTCTGCCATATGCATATCCAGGAATAAGGGTATCCATTAGGGCCTGTAACTGTAAACTATGTAAGGTCAAAGATTAACAGCTCCACCTAAATAAAGATGAGAGCACAATCATCCTTCTTTTCTATAGATGAAAAGAAATCCCCCCAAAAGTTTGTTTCCATCTCTTTAGCAGCATTCTCAATGTATTTTATTCTCCTTTCCAGTTACTAATCTAGTATTAAAAAAAACACTGCTATACAAACTACACAGGACAGGGACATCTGTTCTCAGTAAGAGCAAAAATAAATGAGTTTTATATTCTTTCTTTTGTGAAAAAAGAAAGCAAAAATGACTTAAGATTTCTTCATCATGAATTTATTTTCTAGAAAATCCATAACGTATGGTTCTTATATTAATTGTAACTTGGTCACAGTGTACACAAGTTAATTAAATGATCATCTTATCTGTAAAGTACATGTATATAAAAAGAAGCAGGTTAAGGTGGCATTTCTTTGAAATCTGAGCATGGTTTCTCTTCTTACTCCCAGCACTTGCAAAAAAGGCAAATGGAAATGTGTTCAGAAATCAGTGTGTTCCTCAACATGTAATCTGTATGGAGAAGGCCACATCACCACTTTTGATGGACAGCGTTTTGTGTTTGATGGCAACTGTGAATACATATTAGCTATGGTAATCTGCCTCTTACTGCTTATTTTGGCAGTATCTCAGCATCAAGAAATAGCTTGATCTAAATGGCTAATGAAAATATCTGAGGATGCACCTATATTCAATAGAGAACCTTGAATCTTTATAAACACTGTTTTTATATTTTCTGCTTATTTGAATACTTTAGATGAAGAGACTTTACTTCTCAAAACACAGTTTTTTCTCATGCAATTACAACAGATTTTAGATGTAATAACATGTTTAAAAAGTCATTGATATATACCTATTATGTACCAGCTAATTATATCTTTTAGGGAAGTGATACCAGTTTGAATAAAAAATCAGAGGTCATCCCCTCCCAAAACAGGCAGAATCCTTCAGGATACTTTAAGCTTTCTTTACTTTTATTTCTGTTTTAAGTTGGAAGACTTTTGGGGTTTTCTGCTTTTTGTTATTTGTTTTGTTGGGTTTTTTAGGATGGCTGCAGTGTTAATAGACCCATTTCCTCTTTCAAAATTGTTACTGAGAATGTCATCTGTGGGAAATCAGGGGTTACATGCTCCAGATCCATCAGCATTTACCTTGGGGTAAGAACTTAATTCTGCTGTTTATCCACCTGAATAGTTATTTTAAGCCCATGTTTGCTGCCCCTTTGGAAGCTTTAGCTGTATCTTTGAAGTGATGTCTTGGAAGTAAAACAATGTGCTATGCCTAAAACTTCAGGTTTAGTAGGAATTGCCATCACTTTTTTTTTTCTTCAATTCTCATGTCAATGTTTCAGTCCCCAAACTTCCTGTGTATGTAGAGCCATTCAAAAAGCTAGTACAAAGATACTGATTCCCCCTGCCAAGCCTGTACTGATACTGGGGGTTGCCCTGACCCAGGTGTAGGATCTTACACTTGGCCTTGCTGAATCTCATGGGGTTCATATGGGCCCCCTTCTTGAGCTTGTCAAGGTGCCTTTGAATGGCATCCTATCCCTCAGGTGTGTCAACTGCACCATTAAGCTTGGTGTCATCAGCAAACTTGCTGAGGGTGCACTCAATTCCACTGTGTATGTCACTGATGAAGATATTACACTCTACTGGTCCCAGTACAGATGTCTGAGGGATGTCACTCATCACTGATCTCCATCTGGACTTTGAGCTGTTGACCACTACTCTCTGGATGTGACCAGCCAGCCAATTCCTATCCACCAAATCCATATCTCCCCAATTTAGAGAGATGAATGTAGTGGGGGACCATATCAAAGACCGTACAGAAGTCCAGATCAATGACATCCATAGTACTTCCCTTGTCCTCTTGGTGTAGTGTCTCCATCATAGAAGGCAGGACTTGCCCCTGGTGAAGCCGTGCTGGCTGTCTCAAATCACCTCCCTGTCCCCCATGTGCCTTAACATAGACTTCTAGGAGGATCTGTTCCATGATCCTTTCAGGCACAGAGGTGAGGTTGACAGGCTGGTTGTTCCCAGGGTCCTGCTTTCTACCCTTTTTAAAAATGGGTGCAATGTTTTCCTTTTCCCAGTTATTCGGGGACTTCACCTGGCTTCCATGACTTTTTGACAGTGGGACTGTCAAGACAGTTTGTAGTGCCATAGCATCTGATCTTTGGCAGTATGACACAGAATGAGGGTAATACTGAAACTGAATAAGTTATAACGTCCAGATAAATAGGTAAATTTTATTTCAGAATTTGACATTCGTACTGCGAGATGAAACCTTCACTGTATCTGGAGAAAATCCTGGAGTACAATATAATGTCAAAAAGAATGCTCTTCATCTGATGTTTGATGTCATTATCCCAGGAAAATACAACATGACTCTTATCTGGAATAAGCACATGAACTTCTTCATCAAAATCTCCAGAGAAACACAGGTATTGCAGAATAACATGGCCAGTAGACCGTCCTTCAATTCAGATTGAACTGCACATTTGATGAAGGTTGCCTTGACTCTATGATGGCAAAAGTTTTTCAGAGATGCTACTAGAAGTTCATTTTCATCCTTATTTCCAAAACAGCAGAGATTTCTCACTAAAGATTGTTTTTAAAGTGATTACCCTAGTACATTCAGGAAATTCTTGAGCTAAATGCTTGTGTTTTATACAGCTGCATGGTTGAATCTCATCTCTAAATGAGGACAGTTTACAGTTTAATGGAGAAACACATTCATCCAATGATGAACAAAACCTCATGCACAAGATGCTAAGAATGTATGAGAGAGTATGTATAGATCACATTCACTACTAAAGCTTAGGAAATTATTAGTAATCAAAAGGGAAAGCAAGTAATTATAACTTGCTGAACTGATGTTGCTGCTTTCATTTAATCTAGGAAACTATATGCGGTTTGTGTGGGAACTACAATGGCAATATGAAGGATGATTTTGAAACTCGAAGCAAGTATGTAGCATCAAATGAATTGGAATTTGTCAATTCTTGGAAAGAGAATCCTCTCTGTGGGGATGTATACTTTGTAGTGGACCCCTGTAGCAAGAACCCTTATCGTAAAGCATGGGCAGAAAAGACATGCTCCATCATCAACAGCCAAGTCTTTTCTGCCTGTCACAATAAGGTAAGAATTGATTTGGCCTTCTTTTTATTTATAGGCATAATCTGTATTCTTCCAGAAAGCTCACACTCCAACACTTTGTTTTCTCTTCCCCAAAATATTTTAATACAATATATATATATAAAGTGTATTATGGCCCTCATTTACATTAATCCTTTCATCCTTTTGTTTGCACTTCGCCAGCCCTTTTGTAAGCACAAAATCTAAGTATGGCATTAACTCTGAAGTCAAAAATATCAGAGTGAAAAAAGAAGGAAGACTCAAGTATGAGAAATTAGTCAGTCTGTTGATGATGCCTGATACTGATTAATGCAGTTTACTCTTTTGAGACAATTTAACCTCTGTTAGAAAATAGAATTTAAGAAAGGTCTGAAAACCTTTGTTATCACTAAATCAACAGCATCACTTAAAAGATGCAGATCAACCTAAGAGCAAGATACCATCATCCCTCCTATTTGTTTAAAGTTACTCACTTTGTGGAAATAAAAGTATGGCATAGTTCATTATAAACAGGCCTTCTGAAGGAAAAGCTTCATTTTCAGAAGGTGAAAACAAGTGAGAAATGCCGATAATGCTGCAATGCTCGTGCATATCCACAAAGGGTGAACAGCTGACAGATACTTGTGTCTGAGTGGATGTGAGGATTCTGGGTGTTTTTTAAGCTGATTATGCATAATATGTTCAGGACTAGAATTTAGAAATACATTGTTCAGGACTAGAATTTAGAAATACATATCTAGCAAAGCATGATCAGTTTTCATTAATGTGGAGACACCTATGTTCTTGCTAAAATGATTTGTATGAAGTGGGATTGTAATGGAACATGTATTGTTTAGCTCAGGGAAAAACACTTTCTTAGCAAATGGGCACAGAAGAATCCTAAGAAATTAGTTACTTTGTTGTTCCAATGCAGGTGAATCGTATGCCTTATTATGAGGCCTGTGTTCGAGATTCCTGTGGTTGTGACATTGGAGGGGACTGTGAATGCATGTGTGATGCTATTGCAGTATATGCCATGGCATGCTTAGATAAAGGTATCTGCATTGACTGGAGGACCCCTGAGTTCTGTCGTAAGTTCTTCAAGCTCTCTTTAAAAAAGTTGAAGAGATTATTATTCTAACTGTGAGTATATTAATATGGCAATATAGTTAATTGCTTAATAAGCACCTCCAAATTTGCATTTTCTCTATGGGCAAATAGCTGACTTCAGTCAACTAGGTTTTGAAACCTGTAGTTTTCAGGTATGCTAAATTAACCAAAGTATTGTATTTCTTTTTACCATGGATGAAAGAGAAAATAATGTGGTTCTAGAAGGCAGACTGTTTCCTTTGCTACCACTGCATAGTGAACTGTCTGTTTCTCAGCAGAAGGAGTATGAAATTGAGAAAGATTATGTTGCATTTTAGCCATGATAAAATCACCTGTGTGGACAGAAAGGAAATAAAGACAGCTGTGTTGGCTGGAACACTGTAAAACAGGTAAAAGGTATCAAGGCATTCCAGAACACCATATATGGAGGGAAAAAGAGGACGAGTGTTATAAATCAATGCTGGAGTTATCTTTGATGATTTCTTTTCAACATTCCACTATATTATGCATTAAAAATAGTGGAAATATTTTCATAGTGCATTTAAAAAAAACAAAACTTACTTTACTTCAGCATAAATTTTGATTTACATCTGAAGCTAATCATTTAAATGACAGAATTTTATCCTCCCTTTAGTTCTTTGAAAATAACATGTTGTTAATTAGAAAAATTCTCATTTCTCTGTTGCTTTTACCTTTTTCAGCTGTTTATTGTGAGTATTACAACTCTCATAAAAAAAAAAGAAATGGCGATGCTTATTCCTATGGCTACAACAATGACAACTGCACCTGGCATTACAGACCTTGTAATTGTCCAAATCAAAACTACAAATATGTCAACATTGAAGGTAATAAGCTATACTAGTGAAAACAAGGGAGCAATAAAATAATAATTGTTTTCAATGCTGTTTTTTAGAACAAACATACCACAGTTAAGTAGTGATACTATAATTGATGCTACCTTTAAAGCAGTTTTGCTGACCTTTACCTTACAACTTCTGCTTTAAAAACATAATCAATTCAGTACCTGTACTACATCTAGCTTTACATTGAGCTCAGCCTATTATGAAGGGAAATTCTCTGGCTTGCATCAGATCAAAAGAATATGTGTACTTTCGTAAGAAAACATGGAGAGAGCAGTTAATATTTTTATTAGACAAATGGATATAGTTGGAGAAAGCAAAAGAATTACTATGTGAACAGATCCTTCTTCTGAGGATGACAGTGGAAATGCTTATCTCATTCAATCAATACCGTTTTTTAGTAACAGAAATCTAAGATACTAGATAATAAGTGATATAAATTAAATGGTGCTCCCTGAGAAATGTAAACCAAACTTCTCTTCCCCTTTCTTCAGGCTGTTACAACTGCTCTCATGATGAATACTTTGACTATGAGAAGAAAAGATGTATGCCATGTGGTAAGCAGCAACCCATATATCCTTATTCTCTTCCTGTACAGTAACTGGAAAAAAATACTAACACATTCTGTATTCTCAAAGAAGGTAGTTTTCCTAGTACCTCTCAATTAATCCATGCTCATCCAAACATAAGTTTCCTTCAAAATAACCCCATTACTGTATTGCTAGTATATAAAACTTCATGTTGTAAGTAAAGAAAAGAAAAGAACTAATTAGAAGAAGATTTAGGGTGAGGAATGCTATAATACAGAGTTGGATAATCCTGGCTGATTTTAGTTAACAAGATGAAGAGTTACATTCACTGTAAATGTGAGTACTTTTAAAAATAGAGGTCTTCCTGAAAGTGAATTAGTGTTCTGATCTGCATGAGGGCCTGCCCCAGTACAGCTGTTACTCTCAGATATATTCAAACACTTTCATAAAAAAAGGGAACATACAGAAGAGGATCAGACCTAGCTAATGGGATTTACATAGCAAATGTCTTTTTAATCTTTTTAAAGATTTTTTTTTAATATATATATTAACTTATGGTTTATTCCCATGAGGTTTACTTCTATGAAAACCTATCATATTAAATAATGTTTTGGATAGTTTCTAGCTGCACAGTTTGTTTTTTTCATACGGATATAAAACACACCCAAGGACAATTTTTCTCACATTACAGAATTCTAACTTGTGTAATCAGAATCTTAGCCAGTGATTGATCTAAACAAAAAGCGTATCTCCATTATCCCCGAAAAGTGAGACTCCCTTAAGCATAAAAATCATAAGAAAGCTAGCAAGAACTTAATCATTTTTATTATAAGATATATTGACTTCTTTGTCATTTTAGTCCTTCAGTGTGAAGTTTACCACTGAAACATGTAATATTAAGCATTTTCAGAAATATCTCACTAATTAACACAATCCTTTGAATCCAATCTAAAATTTGCCTTATTTGGAATTTTTTAATATGCTTTCATTCACATACTTAACCTGTTTTACCTTTACACAACAGGACATGCAATCACTAGTACCACACCTGAAACATCTCCACCTTCAACAGGTTAGTTTACGTAGTTGACCAAACTAGTACATATACATTGATATATGTCTTCATATGTGTATATAAGGTAAGCAATGTCCTTTTTTTGCATGACATAGTAGCATCGCCAGTTTCACATTCAGGAGATGCAATAATGAAAAATAACTTGGTTTCATAATTATCATAAATATTTACCCAGAAATACTTGCTAGATGTCTGAAGAAAAAAATTATGAGACAATGATGTTTCCTGAGTATACTTAGGCACTTCCAGATACCCAGTAATAAAATATCTCTGTTAGTGAATAAGGACTTCTGTCTTGTCTCTGATAGACAGAGGCATTGAGCTCAGTCTCACCAAGTTTGTAGATTATAGCAAGCTGAGTGGTGTGGATGACAGGGGGTAGGATGCATTCAGAGGGACCTGAACAAGCTCAAGAAGTAGGCCCTTGTGAACCTCATGAGGTTCAACAAGGCCAAGTTTAAGGTCCTGCACCTGGGTCAGGGCAACTCCCTGTATCAGTACAGGCTGGGGGGTGAAGGGATTGAGAGCAGCCCTGAAGAGGACTTGGGGTTACTGGTGGATGAAAAACTGTATGTGAGCCAACAGTGTACACTCACAGCCCAGAAAATGAACCATATCCTGGGATGCATCAAAATAAGCATAGGCCAGTGAGTCAAGGGAGGTGATTCTGCCCCTCTCCTCTTCTCTGTTGAGACACCACCTAAAGACTGCATCCAGCTGTAGAGCCCTTATTAGTATGGGAAGAACATGGACCTGGTGGAGCAGGTGCAGAGGAGGGTCACAAAAATGATCAGGGGGAGGGAACACCTCTGCTATGAGGAATGGTTGAGAGAGTTGGAGTTGTGTTCAGCCTGGAGAAGAGAAGGCTCCACGGAGATCTTATTGTGGCCTTTCAGTACTTGAAAGGAGCTTATAAGAAAGATGAAGCAGGTATTTTAGCAGGGCCTGTAGCAATAATACAAGAGGTAGTGGTTTTACCCTTAAAAGAGGGTAGTTTCAGACTAGGTAGATATTTTCTATGATGAAACACTGGAAGAGGATGTCAGAGAGCTTGTGGATGGCACATTCCATGTTGGGCTGTATGGGACTTTGAGCAACCTGATCTAGTTGAAGATGTCCCTGCTGGTTGCAAGGGTGGTTGCACTAAATGACGTCTGAAGGTCCATTCCAACCCAAACCATTCTATGATTCTACAAAAAATTCATCACCATTCCTAGTGTCTGTATAACACTTCAATAATTTTAGGAAGGTCTTAGTGGAAATGCATGACCGACCATACCAAATCCCTATAGCCTCATCCAGGAAAGGAATCTATATATACTGATCTTAAGTTTGCTAGAAATTAGAATCATAGAATAGTTAGGGTTGGAAAGGACCTTAAGATCATCTAGTTCCAACCCCCCTGCCATGGGCAGGAATACCTCACACTAAACCATGTCACCCAAGGCTCTGTCCAACCTGGCCTTGAACATCGCCAGGGATGGAGCATTCACAGTTTTTCTGGGCAACCCATTCCAGTGCCTCACCACCCTAACAGGAAAGAACTTCTTCCCTGTATCTAATCTGAACTTCCCCTGTTCAAGTTTAAACCCGTTGCCCCTTGTCCTGTCACTACAGTCCCTATTGAAGAGTCCCTCTCCATCATCCTTATAGGCCCCCTTCAGATACTGGAAGGCTGCTATGAGGTCTCCACGCAGCCTTCTCTTCTCCAGGCTGAACAGCCCCAACTTGCTTAGCCTGTCTTCATAAATTCCGTTAATTTCTCCAAAGTCGGATGGTATTAGGAAAATGTATGCTATCAGCTGAGTGAATAATAAAATACAATTCCATCTCTGCTGCTATGCACAGATATTTATGGCAAATTCACTTGAATTCCTGCAGAAGCTTTATGCATTTTTCTTTATTTTACTGTTTAATGTATTCACAGCACATAGTAGCAAAGGAATAGATGGATAACTTCTCTAAAATGTTTCATGTAAAAGGTAATGGTTTTTAATAGTAGTTACTACTAATAGTTACTAAGAGTGTTTTTACTTCAGAAAACAATTTTCAATTTGTATAGTTGTGTTATAAACAGATTATCACATTTTTTTTTTGTCTCTTAGTAACAACAGCGCAGCCTAAAGTATCAAGAAGCTCTATTGCAGGTACCCTACCAGTAGTACCTAGTATTTCTTCTTCTGCAGCTACTGTATCAATTGAGACTACAAATCCCACAGTAACCTCAAAAATCACGGTTCCAATAACTTCACCAACATCACCTCTTGGCACAATAATGTCAACAACTGGTAGGTTTTTAGTGCTACTGTCTAAAATAAATAATGTCAACAACTAGTAAGGTTTTAGTGTTACTGTCTAAACTAAATTACAGTAAGCTCACTGTATACATAGCTGAGATACCACCCTACTAAGAAACCATTGCAAGCTGTCTCAATATCCAAATGTAAGACTACAAATAATGAAGCAGGCAAAGCCTACTAGGGCTCCATCAAGGAGTCTGTAAACCAGTAATGTTCAGAAGTGTAGATCAAAAGTGCATGGAAATAGGAAGGATATAGACATTAGGTTAAAAACAACCAAAAATCACTTGTGTGACTCATCCCAGAAGCACATTAGAAGCTCTACAAGCAAAGCACCAGCTCAACTCCAGCTGGATTTATTAGCTCAACTTCAGCCTCTTTTCCACAACTGGTTCAGTTATGCAGTCATATTCAAGGAGTACTCTACCTATTAACTCTGAATAATGTAATCACGCTCCAAAGCAGAATCACACAGGTATCAAGTGCAGCAGCTTTGTTTAGGACTCTAGAGTCTTACTCCCAGGAGGATGATTCCTCCACCATAAATTACTTTTTGATTCTATGACTGTGGAGACTCGTAATAATGTGTGGCTTCGCACTAACATGCTCTTCAACTAATAAGCCACCCTGGACCCAAGCTAACAAAGAAAGCAGAGTTTAAAAAAAGGTCCCGTAGCAGTCAAAACACAATTTCAAACGCTGCCATTGTGACAGATGGTTTGTACACTGGGTCAAGGAAGATCCTATAGTATTATGGTATGTAGCTTTGTAATTTGTATGTACAAATTATGGAAAGCTAAATCTGTGGCTGATTTGGAACATAAGAATATCCAATAAATTGTCATTTGTGCAAAGCCCATACAGACTTTAGCAAAAAAAAATCTGACTTCTTAGAAAAAATATATAAAACCCAGGAAAAATACAGCAAATTAGAACAAAGAAAGATATGAGACAACAGAAAACAAATACAAGTAGGGAAAGATTTGGCAAGCTTGTGAGAACATGAATAGAAAGAATTACGCAGAAAATATTCACAAGATTGAGGGTGAAGACTGGGTTTCTGGAATATAGGTAGCTTCATAAATTGTCTATTTATAAAAATTCAATTAACTGATTACTCATGTTACATTATTTACCTTTACTCCAAAAGAACATACTACATCAGTTTTTACCACACCAAACATGACTACATCCATCAGTACCCCTTCCATAACTACCTCAACAAAAAGAGCTATGATGCCTAAAACAAAGCCTACATCTGTTGCCTCATCAACCACTGCTTCAACAGAGACGGAACAAGTAAGGTTCACCTCACCACCCTTCAAGACCACTATCAAAAAGGAAACTACAACCACCTCAATACCTACTCAAACCACATCTTGGATCACAACTTTCAGCAAACCTGAACTAACAACAGAAGGTAAATATGACTTTTTAGTATCTGCCAAGTGAAGCCACCATTTACAAGATGCACATCAATGGATTTAAAAAAAACTAAACCAAAACCCAAGTATTCTTACTAGTTGTCTCAAAATGGCAAATAAATTGGAAAGTACATGGGAGAAGAAGACGTGTGATAAAAATGAAAATTTCTATGTCTTGCCAGTGGAGCAAACATCTGACATCCAAATATCATTTAAACCTAACATTTCTTTTTGAGGCCATACCCTACACTTCCTCCAAATTTAGGCAAAATCTCTCTATGCTTCAAATCAAGTTCTCAAAAACTTGGCAAAATATGTGTTTCCCTAGCTATTTTAACAAATTCTCCCCCCCAAAAAATATATAAAGAAAGAAATTTTACTTTGGGATGTCAGGTACTCCATATGCCAAAAAGGACAGTTTCTGTGGCTGTATGACAACATGAATTGCTAAACTCGTCATTTACTAATTTAGCAACTGACACAAGAGGCTGGGACAGTGTGCAGTAGAGGAGTCTACTCTAGTGAGAGGGCACATGTACACTCTCTCCCAGTCCCAGTGTTTCCCACAAAGTACTGTTGGGGTGCACACATCTGGATCTTCTTGTGCCAGCAATTACAGCATCCTCTGAGGAAATATCACAACCCACTTTAGGAGCCTTATGAGTTCCCAACCATTACTTATATCCATTCTTCCTTACTTTACAGAGAGTGAGGGAACCCAAGCAACCACTCATGCACTACCATGTCCCAGTGGGTAAGAGGGAGCTGAGAGATGCCCTTGACCTAAGACTCTGCTTCACTTACCCCAGCTTTTCCAGATGATGTTCTTGCTCAGTCTGAAACTCCTTGGAGGGGAGACATGCACGTCCAGAGAGACTTTTACTTCCTCAGGACCTCCAGAAAGAGGCAGGGGGTGTTGAATTGTGTAAAGGTACCCTTCAGGCCCAGTTCTTGCCATATATTTTTTGGAGTGGAAGCCAGCCATTGGTCCATTCATCCCTCTTGCCCAGTAAGACTCAGTGTGGTCTGGTCTTGCCTTTCTTACCTTCACTCATACTCTGGAGCTTCTACTTGAGGATTGCCCAACTTCTTTGCCTTCCCTTCTTGCCGTGCCACCCTCAATCAACCTGTGCTTTTCTCTCTGTAGCTGTCACCCACAGAAGACCAACAAAGGCACAACTTGTGCAGCATCACATCACGCAGAAGACCACCCCTGCCACATCCACCAGCAGCACCTCTGTCCCAAGAATGACTGTCCGTGCCAGCAGCCCAGAAGTCCCACTGACAAAGATGTCTCCAAGTCCCAGCTCTTTAACTGCCACCTCAGCCTCATCTGCTTCTTCCGCCTCCTCTACTGTGCCCTCAACACGATTGAGACCATCATATCCCGGTAAGGCTCCCTTCTGTCCTTTATGCTGCCTAGCTGCTCCTTCCAGCTCCCACCCATTCATGCTCTCCTAAGCAGCATATCCCACACAGGCTTCGCTTCTGGTATTCATTCTTAATTCCCACTGCTTTTGCCGTGGGACTCCTAGGTTCCAGGCAGGTGTTGGGACTGGCCCACACATGACCCTGACTGCATCTTCTTCCCTTACCACTTCAGGGGTTTGTTTCTGGGGCACAGAGGTGTCAGGGTACAATCATGCATGGGTTCCTACCCTACAACTAGCAAACAGAGACAAGCTAACATACACTCTCTCCAGTTACAGTAATGCCCTGATAATGCACAATGGGGGAAGTAGAAGGCAGTGAAACTGGAAACATATATCCAGTTTACACCTCAGGACAGTTTTGGGTGAGAGACAGAACACAAGGCAAGTTCTCCATCCAAAGGATGTCCAGGCCCTGACACAGCCATGAAAATGCGGGTCAACAATGCCAACCCCTTGGCAAGTGCTGTTCCTGTGTGCAAAAGATTCAACAGTGGAGGGTGGGCAAGAAGGTGTACACTCAATGCCAGACTAAAGTCATCCCACTTAGACTGATAGGGCTTCACATGCCTGGGTTGCCTTGGTGTTGACTAGAACAGTCTCCTTAGAAGAGATGCCACAAAATGCTTTGCCTAGACTCTTTCCCAAGACTCAACCATTCTTTTCTCTCGTCCCTTTCTTTGTAGCAAGGGAGCCAACAAGAGCTAGGACTCCAACTAGTAAAGTAGTAACAGGTGAGTGCTCTGGTCAGGAGAGAGCTAAGAGACATCCATGGCCAATGCCTGTACCTTCACTAGCCTTGGCTCTCCCATGCATCCTTTCCAACACAGTCTGAAGCAGGCACATTGTAAACTATCTATAAACCAGTGGATCACACGTGAAAGTAGAGATACCTCTTCCTGTATCAAGACCTCTGTGAAGAATCAGACAAATTGATATATGGCAAATATAAAAATCATCACCAGTCTGCAAATCTCAGAAGCAGCAGGATTGGATGAGACATATTGGGAGTCATGGCCATATTCATTCATCCAAGGAAGAAAAAAAAAAGAAAGTGCAAAACTTGCTTCTGACCTACTTGCCCATAATCTAGCATGAACATTCTACCACAAAAGTGGCTGTATTATTGTCCTTCCCCTCTTACCTTGTCACTTTAAATTGATCTGTGCTTTTCTCCCAGCAGCTGTCACACACACAGAGACAACCATGCCACACATCGTGCCACCTCTGACCACGCACAAGACCACTGCCACCACCTCCGCCAGCAGCACCTCCAGGACCTCTGTCTCCAGAGAAGCCCTCACCACAAGCAGCACAGAAGTCCCACACACAAGGATGTCTCCAAGGTTGTCTCCGGTCCCCAGCAGCTCCCTCAGCACCCAGTTGCCACCTACTGCTACTTCCACAGTCTCCTCCACATTGGCCCCACCCACCAGCCCCCAGCCAACACCTACAACTCTATGGCTCAAGCTGTCTTCCCAGACAACAAGTGCTCTGAGAGAGTCACCTGCAACAGAGTCCTCTGCACCCTCCACAGCTAAAACCAGCCCAATGTCTTCATCTGCATATTCTCCCTTATCAACTGTGTCTTCAACATGGCAGGTCTCCTCTCAGCCTGGTATGGCTCCTTCCTACTCTTCCAACTACCCTGACTTCTGTTCCCAACTTTCATGTTTACTTTCTTGCTTTCTTTTTTCCTTGCTTCCATGCATGCATGCATGCTTACATCCATCCATCTATCCCTCCATCCTTCCTTCCTTCCCCATATGAGTTGTAAGGCACTTGCACATTTGTTTTGGCTATTAGCCATCTATTCCCTCTGCCTTTGGTCAACTTGGGACCTGGTGGACTGACTTTGGGGTGGAACTAATGTTTTTTACAGCAGGTTGTCTGGTGCTGTGTTAAAGATGTGTGTCCACATCAGCATTGATAGCACACAAGTGATTTAGATGTGGCTGAGTGCTTGCACAGCATCCAGGTTTTCTCTGTTTCTTCTCCTGTCTGTTACAATGTGGTTAAAGGGTGGGCAAAATGTTGGTCGTTGACGCAGCCAGGATCCAGAGGCAAAGTGAAGGACCAAGTTGATTCTCCATACCAAGAATGCCATACCCATTTGCTGGGAGACTGACCGGGCTTTGGTCTCTTGGGGAATGTGGCGATTCCTTTTGCACCTTGTAGGGAGTTTAGTCTGTTTCTCTTTAGTATCTTCAGTCCTGAAATCTGAGTGTATCGGGATGCATGTGGGCTTTATGGCTTCTGCACTTCCGATTCTCTCCCCATTCCTGCTGATGGGGAAGTGAAAGAGCAGATGTTGAACACTTAGCATGTAGTTAGGACCAACCCACTACTGACTGGCACACACATTGGTCCTGTATGGGTCTAAGCAGGATGGGGAGGCTTAGGGAAGAAACAGAAGCCCAGCCTTCCTATTGCCCCGCAAGACACCATGTGTAATGAGGCTGACTTTCTTGTACATTCCTACCCCGGGATATTTGCCCACTGCGTTTGTCTTGCCTTCCACTTGTACCTGGTCACCCTCAGTTGACCTCTGCTTTCCTCCCAACAGCCTTCACTCACTCAGAGACAACCGTGCCACACATTGTGCCACGTCTAACCATTCACAAGACCACCGCCACCACCTCTGCCAGCAGCACCTCCAAGACCTCTGTCTCCAGAGAGGCCATCACCACAAGCAGCACAGAAGTCCAACACACGAGGGCGTCTCCAAGTCCCAGCTCCGCACCTATCCCCAGCAGCTCGCTCAGCACCTGGGTGCCACCTACTGCTACTTCCACAGTCTCCTCCACATCAGCCACAACCACCAGTCCCAAGCCAACACCTACAACCCTATGGCTCAAGCCATCTTCCCCAATGACAACTGCTCCAAGAGAGTCACCTGCAACAGAGTCCTCTGCACCCTCCACAGCTAAAACTAGCCCAATATTTTCACCTGTATCTTCCCCCTCCTCAACTTTGTCCTCAACATGGCGGATTTCCTCTCAGCCAGGTAAGGCTCAGTCCTGCCCTTAGCACTTGTCTGATTTATCTTCCAATCTGTTATGTTTCCATCCTTCCTACTATCTTTTATTCCATCTCTCTCTCAATTCTTCCCTCTGTTTTTCCTTTCTCCCACCCAACCTTCAATTCTACTAGGCCCCCTTTCTTCCTCCCACCCACACTTCCATTCTTCCTACCTGCCATCCATCAAAGCAGGACAGGCTACTGCATTTTTTTTTTTTTCTGTGATTGCCCTCCATTCCTGCTTTCATTGGCATCAGTACTTTGCTATGGCCAGCTTTGGTATCTGCCACTGGGCACAGGTTTCTCTCACACAGCCTGGCCTCTGGTCTGGAGGGGGCAGTAGTTACACTATGCCTGTTCCTTCAAGGGAAATACACACATTTAGAGGCACGTCTCTCTCTGGAGAGGCATGGGATGTTTGCTTAATGGAAGGCACCCTTCAGGTGCTTTGTCCCCCTGTTTTGGGGCACATGCTGGGTTGGAGGAGGAGAGCAGAAGGCAGAGACCCACTCCTCCCCTCTTGCCTGACAAGACGCCATACAGCAAGACTCTGCTTTTCTTGCACATGCCCAGAGCCCTGGACTTTTGCCCACTGTGTTTGCCTTCCCCCTCTTGTCCGGTCACCCTCAGTAGACCTGCACTTTCCTCCCTGCAGCCTTCACTTACACAGAGACAACCGTGCCACACATCGTGCCACGTCTAACCACGCACAAGACCACTGCCACCACCTCTGCCAGCAGCACCTCCAAGACCTCTGTCTCCAGAGAGGCCATCACCACAAGCAGCACAGAAGTCCAACACACGAGGACGTCTCCAAGTCCCAGCTCTATGCCTGTCCCCAGCAGCTCGCTCAGCACCTGGCTGCCACCTACTGCTACTTCCACAATCTCCTCCACATCAGCTGCAACCACCAGTCCCAAGCCAACACCTACAACTCTATGGCCCAAGCTGTCTTCCCAGACAAGTGCTCTGAGAGAGTCACCTGCAATAGAGTCCTCTGCACCTTCCACAGCCAAAACCAGACCAATGTCTTCACCTGCATCTTCTCCCTCCTCAACCATGTCCTCAACATGGCAGATCTCCTCTCAACCTGGTAAAGCTGCCTCCAGCCTTTCCCACTGTCCTACCTTTTCTTCACAGCTACCAAAATTCCTTCCTTCCACATTTCTTCTTTCTTCCTTCCTTCCTTCTTTCCTAGCAGCACAGGCTGCTAGGACATTTGTTTTGGTAGTTACTCTCTGTTCCTGCCTGCTTTGGCATCAGTACTATGGCATGGCCTGCCTTGGAAAAGGCCGTGTGGCACAGGTCTCTCCCACAGAGCCTTCCCTCTTTTCTGGGAAGGGACAGTTGTTTCACTGTGCCTGTTCCTTTGAGGGAGAAACACACATTTGGATAGGCTTCTCTCCCTTGAGAGGCAGAGGATGCTTGCATGTTGGAAGGAACCCTTCAAGTGCTGTCCTTTTTCCCCTATTTGGGGGGACATTCTTGGTTAGCAGTTTAGATGTAGGAGGCGGAGGCCCATGCCTCACTCTTTCCTGGGAGGACTCAAGACACTGCCTTTGTGTCATGTGGCCCCAGCTAAGGACTTCTGCCTACTGCCTTTGCCTTCCCCTCTTACTTGGTCACGCTCATTTGACCTGTGCTTTCCTCCCAACAGCCCTCACCCACACAGAGACAACCATGCCACACATCGTGCCACGTCTAACCACGCACAAGACCACCACCACCACCTCTGCCAGCAGCACCTCCAAGACCTCTGTCTCCAGAGGGGCCATCACCACAAGCAGCACAGAAGTCTCCCACACAAGTATGTCTCCAAGTCCCAGCTCTGCACCTGTCCCCAGCAGCTCACTCAGCACCTGGCTGCCACCTACTGCTACTTCCACAGTCTCCTCCACATCAGTCACAACCACCAGTCCCAAGCCAACACCTACAACCCTATGGCTCAAGCCGCCTTCCCAGACAACAAGTGCTCTGAGAGAGTCACCTGCAACAGAGTCCTCTGCACCCTCCACAGCCAAAACCAGCCCAACTCCTTCACCTGCCTCTTCCCCTTCCTCAGCCACGTCCTCAACATGGCGGATCTCCTCTCAGCCTGGTAAGGGTCCCTCTTCCCTTCGCATAGTTCTGCCTTCTGTTCCCAGAGATCACACTTCTGTCATTCCTGCCTTGTTTCTTCCAAGTATCACAGACTGCTTGGGCATTTCTTTTGGTAGTTGCTCCCTATTCCCTCTTCCTGTGGCATCAACACCATGGCATGGCCTGCCTTGGAAAAAGACATGAGGCACAGGTCTCTCCCACAGAGCCTGGACTACTGTGTGGAAGGGGCAGTGGTTACAGTGTGCCTGTTCCTTTATGGAAAACACACATAGTTTGAGAGGCTTCTCTCCTTGGAGAGGCAGAGTGTGCTTGCATATTAGAAGGGACCTTCAGGTGCTTTGTTCCCCTCTTTTGGGGCACATGCTGGGATAGAGGCTGGGGGAGAAGGCAGCGACCCACTCCTCCCTTTTGCCTGGCAGGACTCTGTACAGCAAGACTCTGCTTTTCTTGTACATGCCCACAGCCTGGGACTTTTGCCTACTGCCTTTGCCTTCCCCTCTTTCCCAGTCATCCTCAACTGACCCATGTTTCCTCCCAACAGCCTTCACTCACACAGAGACAACCATGCCACCCATCATGCCACCTCTGACCACGCCCAAGACCACCACCACCACCTCTGCCAGCAGCACCTCCAAGACCTCTGTCTCCAGAGAGGCCATCACCATAAGCAGCACAGAAGTCCCCCACAAAAGGACGTCTCCAAGTCCCAGCTCTGTGTCTGTTCCCAGCAGCCCGCTCAGCTCCTGGCTGCCCCCTACTGTTACTTCCACATCAGCCCCAACTACCAGTCCCAAGCCAACACCTACAACTCTATGGCTCAAGCTGTCTTCCCAGACAAGTGCTCCGAGAGAGTCACCTGCAACTGAGTCCTCTGCACCTTCCACAGCCAAAACCAGCCCAATGTCTTCAGCTGTACATTCCTCCTTACCAACTGTGTCCTCAACATGGCAGATCTCCTCTCAGCCTGGTAAGCCCCCTCCTGCCTTTTCCACTGCTCTGCCTTCTGTTCCCAGCTGTCATGCTTGCTTCCTTTTTTTCCTTTGTTCTATCCATCCATCCATCCATCTATCCATCTATCCATTCATGCCCTCCTGAGCCATATGGGAGTTGCTCATTTGTTTTGTCTGTTGGCCATCTGTTCCCTCTGCCTTTGGTTACCTTGGAACCTGCTAGACTGACTGTGGTTGGGATGGATGTGATTTTCATTTCCAGCAGGTTGTCTGTTCCTGTTGTAGGTGCATGTCCTCGTCAGTGTTGATGCCAGTTATGCTTTAGGTGTTGCTGTGGAGTGTATGCACAGCATCCAGGTTTTCTCCATTTCTTCTCCTTCCTATTACAATGTGGGTAAAGATGGGCAAAGTGTTGGTCATTGACATAACCAGGATCCTGAGGTAAAATGAAGGACAAAGTTGATTCTCCATACCAAGAATGCCATCCCCATTGCTGGGAGACTGACCGGGCTTTGGTCTTTTGGGGAATGTGGTGATTCCTTTTGCACCTTGTGGGGGTTTCAGTTGATTTTTCTTTGGTATATTCTGAAAACTGAGTGTACCTGGATGCATGTGGTTTTTTTTTTTCCTTCTGCACTTCTGATTCTCTTCCCATTCCTGCTGATGGGGAAGTGAGAGAGCAGATGTTGAGCAGTTAGCATACAGCTAGGACCAACCCACTGCTGACTGGCACACACATTGGTCCTGAGTGGGTCTAAGCAGGATGGGGAGGTTTAGGGAAGGAGACAGAAGCCCAGCCTTCCTATTTCCCCACAAGACACCATGTGTATGTAATGAGGCTGATTTTCCTGCACAGGAGCTCCACCCTGGGAAATTTGCCCACCACCTTTGCTTTCCCCTCTTAGTTGGTCACACTCATTTGACCTGTGCTTTCCTCCCAACAGCCCTCACCCACACAGAGACAACCATGCCACACATCGTGCCACATCTGAATACGCACAAGACCACCGCCACCACCTCTGCCAGCAGCACCTCCAAGACCTCTGTCTCCAGAGAGGCCATCACCACAAGCAGCACAGAAGTCCCACACTCAAGGATGCCTCCAAGTCCCAGCTCTATGCCTGTCCCCAGCAGCTCACTCAGCACCTGGCTGCCACCTACTGCTACTTCCACAGTCTCCTCCACATCAGTCACAACCACCAGTCCCAAGCCAACACCTACAACTCTATGGCCCAAGCTGTCTTCCCAGACAAGAAGTGCTCTGAGAGAGTCACCTGCAACAGAGTCCTCTGCACCCTCCACAGCCAAAACCAGCCCAACTCCTTCACCTGCCTCTTCCCCTTCCTCAGCCACGTCCTCAACATGGCGGATCTCCTCTCAGCCTGGTAAGGGTCCCTCTTCTCTTCGCACTGTTCTGTCTTCTGTTCAGAGAGATCACACTTCTGTCATTCCTGCCTTATTTCTTCCAAGTATCACAGACTGCTTGGGAATTTGTTTTGTCTTTTCTCCCTGTTCCCTCTTACCTTTGGCATCAGTACTATGGCATGACCTGCCTTGGAAAAGGACATGAGGCACAGGTCTCTCCCACAGAGCCTGGACTACTGTGTGGAAGGGGCAGTGGTTACAGTGTGCCTGCTCCTTCAAGGAAAACACACACGTTTGGAAAGGTTTCTATCTTTGGAGGGGCAGAGGGTGCTTACTTGTTGGAAGGAACTCTTCAGCTGGGGTATTTGTCCCCCAGTTTTGAGGGACAAGCTGGGTTGGAGGATGAAGGCAGAAGGCAGCGACCTACTCCCTTTTGCCTGGCAAGACTCTGTACAGCCAGTCTCTGCCTTTCTTGCACATGCCCACAGCCTGGGTCTTTTGCCTACTGCCTTTGCCTTCCCCTCTTACCTGGTCACCCTCAGTAGACCTGCACTTTCCTCCCAACAGCTTTCACTTACACAGAGACAACCGTGCCACACATCATGCCAGCTCTGACCACGCACAAGACCACTGCCACCACCTCTGCCAGCAGCACCTCCAAGACCTCTGTCTCCAGAGGGGCCATCACCACAAGCAGCACAGAAGTCTCCCACACAAGTATGTCTCCAAGTCCCAGCTCTGCACCTGTCCCCAGCAGCTCACTCAGCACCTGGCTGTCACCTACTCCTGCTTCCACAGTCTCCTCCACATCAGTCACAACCACCAGTCCCAAGCCAACACCTACAACTCTATGGCCCAAGCCTTCTTCCTGGACAACAAGCGCTCCGAGAGAGTCACGTGCAACAGAGTCCTCTGCACCCTCCACTGCCAAAACCAGCCCAATGTCTTCAGCTGTATATTCCTCCTTACCAACTGTGTCCTCAACCTGGCGGATCTCCTCTCAGCCTGGTAAGGCTTGCTCCTGGCCTTTCCCCTGTCCTGCTCATTTTCCCAGCCTTCACATTTGTATCTTCCCTCCTTCCAGCCTTCCTTTCTCCCACCTTTTCTTCATAGCAGCACAGACTGCTTGGGCACTTGTTTTCGTAGGTGCTCTCACTTTAGTTGCACTCCTGATTCTATCCCCATTCCTGCTGATCTGGAAGTGAGGGCGCAGCTGTTGAGCACTTGGCATGAAGCCAGGACCAGCCCACTGCTGAATGGAACACACATTGTGTGCTGAATGGGTCTAAGCAGGAGGCCCACCTCCTTAGGGAAGGAAACAGAAACTCAACTCTTCCTCTTTCCATACAAAACTCCACACTTTACAGGGTTGCTTTTCTTGCACATGCTCCCAGCCCAGTGCTTTTGCCTACTTCCTTTCCTGTCTTGGTCTACTAGTGTGTGTCACTGTGTACTTTCTTCCCAGCAGCCTTCACCCACACAGAGACAACCATGCCACACATCGTGCCACCTCTGACCATGCACAAGACCACTGCCGCCACCACCTCCGCCAGCAGCACCTCCAAGATCTCTGCCTCCAGAGAGGCCATCACCACAAGCAGCACAAAGGTCCCCCCTACAAGGGCATCTCCAAGTTCCAGCCCCGTGCCTGTCCCCAGCAGCCCTATCAGTACCCAGCTGCCGTCTGCCACTCCTTCCACAGTCTCCTCCACATCAGCCCCAACCACCAGCCCTAAGCCTACACCCCTCACTACTTCCACCTTTAGGTCTGCTAAGAGCAGTACGTATTTTTCCTCCCCAAACACCACATTCATTCCACATGGCAAAACATCTTCATTAATAGTTCCTACTAGTGTCTTTCCCGCATCCACTCCAGTTTTGAGCCCAACTGTTTTGTCTACAACAATTTCTTTTGCACCCAGTGTTGTTACTACTGCTTCTACAGAGTCAGTAGAAAGGACTTCTCTGCGAACAACACCACTAACCACTACCCGCACTACATCAGTTCCTTTCACCACTAGACTGTCAACATCCTTGTCTTCTGCTGTACCATTAACAGTGCCACAAGGTAAAGCATAGCCATATCATCTCCTATGTCATATTTTTGGTTTAGCACATATTTTCATTCATGAAGGTATGAATTCTTACATTACTTATTCTTTGGTATGATACTGTATGTATGAATTGGTTCCATCTTTTTGTCATTTCTCCAGTTAATTTTGTATCAACAGGTTCCCTACTATATACTGATATAAACATGAAAAAGTCTGAGTTAAAGAGGCCAAAAGGATGCTCAGGAGAGTTACAGAATCATTTAGGTTTTAATCTTAAAATCCCAGTTAAGCACTGTAATAAAAAATACCTTTTATTAGGCCAGGTTATCTCCTGACTTACCTGTCAGTCTTCCCTTTAGCTGTCATAAACTCCTTCTGCCCACTTCAGCTTTTTTTGGTTTCTCTTTTGCAGGATACTCTTTTCTGTTTTCAAGGTACAGTGATGTACCTTGAGGGTGAAGCAAGGATAGGCAACTTGGGAGGAATACAGAGCACTCTATAGAAGCAGGGCAAGAGGTGCATAAGTTGCCTTCGTAGTACACAATATCCTTGTTTCTCTTAATCTAAACGTGAAATACTACCTTTAAACTCTTTGGAAAACCTTTGTTTTCATCAGCTCTTTGCTTCATCAAGGGCTTAGTGTTTTGCTTCAAGTCAGGAGAAAACGTCAGCTCAATACATCTAGTCATTACCCGCTATGTCGTATTACAGATTCTATCTAGTAACGAAAGACAGACTTCAGGCAGGCATCTAAGGTGTGTACTTCTGGCTGCCTATAAACAAATCAATCATTGAAATGTTTACATTCAGCATCTTTCAGGTAAGTAAGATCTATTATAAAGACTGAACCACAAATAATTCCACCACAATTGGCCAGCTGGTTGTTTTATTTGCATATTTGTTTTCTCATCAGTGAATTGTTTTTTCCTGCTGGTCTGAATTTGCACTCTACTCTTAATAGGGTGTTGTTTGTTTTTTTTTCTCATTTGCAATTCTAGTGACTTGCATTTTCTTGCTTGTTCTCCAGGGCAATCCTCTCATGCATCTTCAATGCCTAGTTTAAAACCTTCTCTTGCTGTGTTACTCACTTGCAACTTGTTAATTGGCTCATGCAGTAGGAATGGTTTCCATGAAACTGAGTACGAAGGCAAATGTCATTCATGACCACTAAGATAAATTTCTGCTATAATTTTTCTCTTACATTTGACAGAGCACTGCAGAGAAATCAAGTATGAAGAAAAAGTAACTTACAAAGGCTGTTCTACAAATGTCACTTTAAGCCGCTGTGAAGGATCGTGTCCATCCTCAACAAAGTAAGTTGAGAGATTATGAGATACTGAAGTTGTTCCCTTGTGTTATTTGGCCATCTGTAAATAGTAGTATTTGTTAACTACCACTCCTTTATAATTCAGGGAGGAAAATATGGTTGGCATCTACCTAGTAATTAAATGTTGCAGTATGTCAGCTAACTACAAACAATGCTAATAAAGTCATTTAGTACATAGGGATTTACAATTTAGGCAAGGAATGTTGTCTCACTTCCTTAATAATTTTTATAAACCCCAGACATAAGTGCTGCAGGTTTTGAGGACTGCTTTGTTGGTGGTGGTTTTGTTGTTTTGCTTTTAAGAAGATAGAAAGGGTCAGTTAGGCTGCAACTAGCTGTTTTCAAGCAGCCAAGGCAGCAAAATAAGGAATTTCTCACCTTAATATGTAGTGTCACTTCCACTGTCTCATAATGTGGTCCTAACAGTGTAATCCAGGCATATTTTATAGTTGAAATGTGTTGTCACAGTCTCTGCAGTTCTGCCTGCTTATTAGGAGACTCTTCAGGTAGAGAATTGAGGCTTCAATGCAACTAAAGCCACTGCAGCACTACTACAGAGTTCAGTTATGTGGGAGATAAACAGCTAATAGTCCTAACAATCCAAGCAAACACTATGTTCAAGAATAGGGAGGCAATGAAGGGTTTTGCTTTTGCAGTAACTACTTTAAATCTATGCTGAAGCTATGAGCTGTCCCCTTCAAAGTGAGTTCAGGTGTTCCCCAGCATTTTGAAAACCAAATGACTGATTTTGGATCCTGAGAGTTTAAGAGGGCTGGGGAACCTGGAGGAAGTATTTTTAGCAGTAAAGGTTCATCATAATCACTAAGAAAGCTATGATTAAAAAACTGTTTTAATTGAAACCAAGGAGACTTCTCTCCTTTACAGAGATTTTAACAAAAATATTTTGCCATTTAGCATCTTTGTTAACAAATCATATTCCAGAGGCCTTTCACAAGCTCCAAGTGCACAGCTCTTAAAAGAATTCCAAAATACTTCATGATTTTCTGAAGTGCAAAAGAAGAGTGGGGAAATCAAACACTACGAGTTATCCAGTGAGGTCTGAGGACTAACAGCTCTAAAGCCTTTGAAAGTTCATTCTCAAAAAGGCAGGCAGGAAGGCAGAAGCTCAGCAGACCTGAACTCTTACAGCATTCATCATGAGAACCAAGACCAGTCAGTTGCTGCAGTGTTTTAGTTTTGTAGTTGATAGAACCTTACTCTTAAGGTTGTGCTCTTTCCTCTAAACATTCCACCATGAGAAAAATAACATTCAAATACTTGAAAAGCTGTAAGCCTACAATGCTGCATACAAATCCTGATGTTCTCTTCCAAACAGGTTGAATGTTGAGGAGATGGTGGTCAACATGGCATGTGGCTGCTGTAGGCCACTTCAGCTTCTTAAGAAGGAACTTCAACTGCCATGCCAAGACCCAGATAACCCTGGAAAAAGGCTCATGAGAGAAGTAATTGTATTTAGTGGCTGTGTTTGTGACTTCGACAGTTGCATACACTAGCCAGAGCTCCAGATGGCTTCAGACACCGTTTTTGGTTGGGTTTTTTTTTCTTTTTTTTTTTAAACACTAATCACGATTTACTACTTCCATAGTGACTGCTCACTGCTGGAGTTCCCTTGTATTGATTATACAGGACAGCCTTGCAGTGAAGCATCCTGAGCAAGCACCTGGAGCATCAATGAACTTAACTGATAAACTATTCCTTATCAGGAAGGGATTCAGGGGGTGTGAAGGGGAGGGAAAAAAGCATGGGCAGGGTGGGTATTGGGAGAGAATACCATGGCAGGGACAGTTTGGCCTTGCTGAGGGCACTATTTAACCAGAGGCTAAAAACTGGCCTATGCATAGTGCAGTAACAGAAATTTGACTTTCAAATAAAGTAGAAGGAATTGAATTTGCAAACTTACCTCATTGTTTGACCAATTATTTTAATAGAAAATAGTCTACTAGGTTCACTACAGTTGAATGAGGGCCTGTGTAATGGCCCACTGCATCACTGGGAGACCACTGAGGTGGTATGTTCCCTGTCCTTTGAGTGGACACAGCACTTGCACTTGTAATCCCTACCCAGCCGCTATCAGAAAGCAAGGTGCTACTTTAATGAAAATGTAACTCTGAGGTTTCTAAATGTACCCTTAGTGTGGTGGGACATTTTTAGAAACATCATTAACAGACATAGTGGATTTTGGACAAAGCAGAGATCTGCAGGGCGTTTCCCTCCAAGGAATCAAAGACCATGTGCCTTAACAGGACACAGGTAGTTCACTCAGAAGCGGTTTCTACTTGCTGCTAGTACTCTAGTACTTTGTTTGCAATTCAGTTAAGATGAAGTTATATGAATGCACAAAATCTTGTAGTACCCCGGTAGTTTTTCTTCTTTTAGCAAGTTTTGGAGAACTACTAGGAAATCTGCAGCATACATTTAAAGCTTGAGTGAGGTTATTTAACACCTCAGATTACGTTTTACAGCATCAACATTTTTTACAAGTCCTGCCTGTGTCCTGCCTAATACAGGTGTGCGCTTCTTAGCCTCAACCATACCCCACTGCTATACCAGTTTATTACAGCTTCTATTCTTAATATACTTACTGTTGTTAAACACTGTAAATCATTTCACATCAAGGTTACTTTGTTGTTTGGTTTTGCTCTGGGCTCTTCACACCCTACACACACAAAAAGCCATAAACAACCTCCCTGGGGGGGAGAGATCTGTAGGCTGGGTAAGACTCAACTGAACACAACACACCAGTAGTTTGCAGAAAGTAATTTACCATTATGTATCAATCGCTGTTTCCCAACAACCATTCAATACAAGTATTCTTTACACTTCCATGCCCCCAGACAAAAAAAAAAAAAAAAAGGCCAGTCTGATTACTGTTCTAATCATTTATTTAATCTTAATACGTTCTTCTGATGAATATAGTCTAATATATAGTATTCTATATGAAAATTCTCCACTTAATTTGACAGAACTTTGTTTTATACAAATAAGACAATCACCATTAATGTTACATACTGGAGTGTAGGTCAAGAATGAACATATGCTACCTGTTTTGCTATTCAGTTATTTTCATATGTCAATGCCTGAAAATACTGTACTTAAAAACAATAACACTGTTTACTGCAGAAATTACTTTGTCTGCTTGACAGGATACATCACTTTGGTAAGTTAACCATCATTCACAAAAAAAAAGAAATCAAGTATTTGTCTTTAATTTGTTCACTTTTCTGCTCATGGCTTCATTGAGCTGACATTTAATACAATGTGTGAACAACTGTAAGCTTAACACAGTCACCACGGAAAAATACACTTTCCCTTACCCCCCTCCTTCCCATGTTTTAAATGCACATTTTAGCACAGCTTGAACCAAAGCACAGTGAACTGAAGTAGCGCAGTGTCTCAAGATATCCTTTAATGAGGGCATACAGTTTTCAGGGGGACAGATACACAACAGGATGTGGTAAAAATGAAATAGAAGCTGCTCCCCTGTCTTTGACAAGACTCCCTTTAGTTCAGCAGATCAGATGTTTAATGCAGCAGTCAACAGCATGGTTAAGGTAACAAGACTAATGAAGAGACATATGGTAGCAACAAGACAGAACATAAGATAGTCCACTGATATTTTGCCAACTTCCTGACCTTACTGCAGGAACTGCTCATGAAGATTTTCAAGGAATGTTTGCGATCCAAGAGTCTTGATTAGCCACTGAAAGGCCACAAAAGTGCCTCAAGAGAACTTCTGCAGAGAGACCAGGTCTCTAGCCAGATTTCTAGTCACAACAGCCACAGCTACCAGTAACTTCTGGAAAAAAAAAACCAAAATATCTCCCAAAATCCACACCCCACATCCAAACCTTTGCTCCTCTTTTTTTCACTTGCACTCAAGTACCACCACTAGCCTTCAACCAAACCAAACTGTAATCACCCACTTCCATCATTCAGCTGAAACCACTGAAGAAAAAAGCAAGGCACACCCAAACAAGTAGAATCCTGTCGCCTGCTGTGCACTGAGCAGCATGACAGGAGCCTCACTGCTACCACTCTAACTCTTAATTTCATGGACATACTTGGCTATATGTGCTAAGACATCAGTCCCAAACTTCTCTGAAATAACCACGAGGAAATCTTGATCTGAGGTTCAAGTCTCCTGTAGTCAGCAGCAGCTGACTTCATTCATTGCGACTTGAAGCACTCGCTGCCAAGTCACCCCCAGTTTCTAACTGTGCTACCTTGCCTGCTCAGTTTGAGCAGCCTTTGGGGCTGAGTCAAAGTTGTGCCCAATTAGTTCTGCAGAGAGGCTGCAGAGTTTGCTGATGTGGAACACATTACGAAGGCTTTGGTTGTAAAAAACACTATACAAGCTGACCATTTTGGGCCTTCAGCATGCTCTCAGTCTTCTACACCATGCTGGGTATTTTTACCACCACTGAAACACAGGAAACCGTTCAAATACCAGTTATTCAATCTCTTGAGTTTTACCATTACTGTATATTGGAGAAAAATATTGTTTAAAATTACATTTTCATCTAAAACAGCACATGCCTCACAGCCTTTCAGGGGCCCACTTCTTCCCAACAATACCAGACCCTGTAGAGTTAGTTATATCATATCATTAGGACTACTACTTGCTAAGTCTGATGGGGAACAAAAACCACAGAAGAGAATATTTAACCTTACTTTGACTAACCATGAATAAGTGTGTACCCATTCACCACCTACCAGAGCAGTTCACCTCACTGAGACAAGCAGGATTAAGAATAGCTTTTGTGTTCAGTCCACTTTCCAGAGATCACAAAACATTTAGATGTGAAGGATTACAAGATTAATACTTTAAGACTCTGGTCCTGTGGCTTTTTTCAAACACAAAGATTGGTGACACTCAACATAAATGTTCACTTGAATCAGATTCAAACATACATGCCCTTCCAACCAGTACAAGACTTGTGGCAATGTTCCACTTTATAAAGTTTGACTCTAACATCCGAATTAACTTTACTGAGCAGCATTACATTGGTTTCTTTCAGTTCAGAGCTGAGTGCTTTAGCAGGTGCTCCTTAAGGCAGAACGTTACTAGCCCTTTCCAGTTGAAATCCTTGGTTACTACACCTAAATAAATTTCCCTTTACTGAGTTTAAAAACTGGTCCTCTGCAAAGAAAAAAGGAGCACAAGAGAGCCTACACACCCTTTGTGTAACGCACTAAAAGCCATTTCTAATGTGGAAAGTCACTTCCCTGTACTGTACATTTTATAGGCTTAATTTCAAACAAGGGTCAAGTCCTAATAAGGCAGGGAGCTGATAATGGTTAACAGTGCAGTACTCAAGACAGTGATGTACAAGACATTTATTTGCAGTATGATGACAGTGATATAAATGGAAGAAAACCAAACTGACATGGTTAATATTAAAACTGTTCTGACAGCAATTCACATAATCTCTGAGATACAGCTTCTTTACTTGTTCGTAGTGTGAGCCTGTACATCTGAAAAACACATGCAATATTATTTAGTTTTTAAACACAGTTTGGCATTAAATGAATGCACAGTCAACTAGCAAAAGCTATCAGCTATATCTTCTGTGTTTTTTTTAGATTTGGTAGGAAAAAGACCTCAAGTTAAAACATTCAAAAGCAGCCAGCCACTGAGTAGTACTGCTTTCTCAAATCATAGGATGGAATACATCTCCAAACCCTTGTAGAGAGGGTCTGCACCACTGTTCTAGCATTTTTAGGCTTTAACAGCAAGATGCTATCCAAAATTGTTCTTTAAGAGGAATAAATGTCGTAGGGAAAGCCTGAATAATCTCATCACCCAAGACTTACAACCCAAAACTTTTCAGCCCTCAGTTAACTTCAATAAAACCTCTACCAAAATGCTTGATGAAAAGTATTCTTAACATTGCATTCATTTGTTATGTTTAATCTTTTAACAATCATTCTTCTATTAATTTAAAATGGCAAAGGGAATTCTACTTAATTGTCCAAGGTGCACAATACAGAAACATAAAATGTTTCCAGCCTTCAAGAGAAGGTAAGACTCCACAAATAAGTCTGGAATAACACAGTGATCTCTTCCAATAAGGAAGGGAACTGCTATGAATAAGCAGGTTACCAAACTGGGCCAGGACAAGCTGCTGTAATTTCATTTCTTGCTGGAGTCTGCAGTCCCCATTAGCTATTGCAATGGTGATTTAAGTAAACACTAGACTTCTAGATAATGCAGATATGTAGTTCAAACAAGACCTTGTATTTAACTGTAGATACTTAAACATACCTGTGCCTGGAGGTTGGGTTCAAGGCGCAGCAAGCATCCAATCTGAGTAGTTTTTGTGTGTATGATACCAGCACCCACAAAATTTGCAGGATTTGGATCTACCTCCTCAAGTAGGGCTGATCCAAAGCCAATAATCTATGAAAGAAACGCAGAAGATTTAGAGGATGGAACAGTGGGACACCAATTTCAAATCTACCCAAGCACAGCCACCACCAACTAGCAAAACAAGTAGGTGGCTAATTTTTACTTGAAGTGTTTGAGACACTAAAGAATTTTCCAGTAACATTTCTTTTACAAGTTTTTGAAGTGACAAAATGACCCTGATAATGAACTGTTCCCAAAAAGGGTTCTTGGAAAAACTGAGAAATAATTTAAATTCAACATAAGTCTCTCCTTTTTTTTGATAAAGCCA